GATCAGCATCTCAGCTATTTCCATCTCTCATATGAGTCAATTATCTTCATTAAGGGAGTGATGGGAGGCAGTATGTGAGAAGAAATTTTGTGCTAAGTTTGCAGATTGTCCACTTGATTCTGGCTCTCTGATGGTGATCACCGAGCTGAAAATGAAAATTTGTGGATAACTCAGTCTGAATTCATTGCTACTAACTTCTTAAGCTTTTTTATCAAGGTACCTGTTAGGACAGCAAAGTGTGACTATATTTTCTCAGGTGTCTATAGTTTAACCCAAATTGAAATCCTTAAACTCAAATTTTCTTTGAAGTATTGTGCTGTATTTTAAAAATTCACATCCTTTTCGAATCTTAATAGTTTATTTATTTATTTATTTATTTATTTATTTATTTATTTATTTATTTGTATAACAAAGTATTTTCTATTACCATCTCTAGCTGAGACTTGCTAGATGTTTACCAATTCTTTCTTCTTCCTGGGCACACAGAAATACTCTATTTTCTAGCCTCTCTTGGAATTACTAACACAGGGCCATTGGGTTCTGGGCAACAGGATATGGGTGGCAGTGATGTACCCGTTTTTTAGGCCTGGCCACAAAACTCCATGTACGATTGCCCATGCTCTCTCTTTCTCTTCCATGGTGACCTTAGAGGTTATGCATTTAGTATGGCAGGGACACAAGGTGCAAAGGGTAGGGATCCCTGTATCCCCACGTGGAGGAAAGGGGCTTAATGTGCAGCACATTATGACCTGGACAAGAAATAAACTTTTATTATGCTAGACCACTAAAGCTTTCAGGGTGGTTTGTTCCAACAGCTATGTTACTAGTCCTAATACATCACTAGAACAATTTTTTTCATACTAGCCATAGTCATTAACATATAGTTTCATTGAGTTAATCAGTTTTTAAAATGGGGCTAAATTGAAGGAAGATAACATTATCAGATTTGGTATCTAGGCAAGTTCTCTCTTTTTATCCTTGATGTTACAATATTTCTAGACCTCAGGCTCACAAAAATATGTGGATACCAAAAATAATTCTTTCATGTTTTTTCTTTTTTTCCAAAGATCAATGAGCTCTATCAGGGTAATTACTGAGAGATGTCCAGAATACCATGCATAAATGCAATATTTTCAGTCTAGTTTAGTTTGAAATTTTGGCAAGTGAATCTTCTTGTTAAAAGTAAAAATTGTTTGCATCATTTGGCAAATTTAAAGGTTTCTGACCCATTGTCATTCTGTCAGCATCTTAACTTTCATTGAAAAAAATGGTGAGCGATGATACAATTTTTTTACACTAATGTGATCATTTCATGACTTATATTTTAAGAATATCAGAAGATTCAATTATCACCGTATTCATTATTGTCGTTAAATGCAAATCCTAGGACTTATAACACTCCCTCCTTGCACTAGTTCTCAACACCTATACCCAAATTTCTATGGCTACAATCTGAAAAAACCTTGGGGGGCACTCTTTCACCACTTTCAGGTCCTGTGCATCCTGGACAATTCCTTCAGCCATTCATTCCACCAACACTCTCTCACCAGTGTTTCTCAAATTTTTATCCCCGAACCACTTAATGGTTTACTCAGTGTACTCTTGGACCATTAATTTTAAGTGACTAGAAAGAGACATGACAAATATGTAAATTATTTAAATGGAACATAATATTAATGGTAAGAATAATTGTTTCACCTCAATGGAAGAGGGATGAATTCCTTGCTACCCTTGTGCTAAACTTTTGGCTCAAAAATTTAACCCTTAGGTTTTACCTGCAGTATGTTTCTTTCCTGTTTCTTTGTTGCTACTAAATTAGATGATTGAAATTACAATTATGGATGATTGAGAATGTCAGCAAGTATTTGATGGCTTCATCTGATAATTCTAGACATTCAGGTAAAACATGGACCCAGAATTAATGAAGGGATTTAATTAGTACCTTGAAAACTCTAACTCCACAATCGGATAGAAACCTGGCAGTTTGATTGGGTCTACTTGGGGTAATGACAAGTAAATTCCTAATCTACTGATTGCATTTCACTCTGTCAAGCAAACTCTTTGTTTTATTGCAGCATCTTGCTGTGGCTTTTATTTTTTTATTATTTTTTAAAAGATTTTTATTGAGGAATTGGGGGATGGGAACAGTGCTGGGGAATTAGGGGAAGGGGAACAGACAAGTTGCTGCCCTTTTGTTCTTCAGTCTAGTTGTGGAGGACGTTGCTTCACTGGCCCACCAAGTTGGCACCATCATTGCATTCTTCCCCGGGCGAGGCAGATCAGTTGCCGGCTTCTGGATGGCCACTCTCGGTGGCTGCTGGCCGCTCACACTGGCTGCTGGCCGCTGGCCACTCACACTGGCTGCTGGCTACACATGGTAGCCCATGGCAACCCACTGCAGCAGGGCTGCATCCTACAACGTCGCCGACCACTCCTGGCAGCCCAGCTCCAGGTTGAGCTGTTGTTCAGCATCTTAGCTGTAGAGGGCAGTGTCACTGGCCCTCATCACTGGCCCTCATATGTGGGATCCGAACCGGGGCCCTCTGGCGTCCCAAGCCAGTTCTTTACCAACATGCCACTCGGCCGGCCCCTTGCTGTGGCTTTTAAACACACCCAAGGTTTCACTTTTTTTTTTTTTTTAAGATTTTTTTTGGGGAATTGGGGAAGGGGAACAGCCAAGTTGTCCTTCAGTCTTAGTTGTGGAGAGCACAGCTAGCTCAGCTTTAAGTCCAGTAGCCATCAGGCTGCCCATCGGCAGGTCAGGGCAGCCCAGCTGGTGAGAGCATGTGCTCCTAACAACTGTTTTTTTATAATGAGAAAGAAAATCATCAAATATTGGGAATGAGTCAAATTCCTAGTGACTGGCATTTGTACCACAGCTTGTTTTGGTTTGTTTTAATCCTGGATGCATGTTGGGTGGTCACTGTCTAGTCCTCGTCCTTACACTCAGATCAAAATCCAGGATAGAAAACATAACTACTCCCCAATTTCTTAGCAAAGTTAATGTATTAGCTTTAGTTTGAGAAGCATTCTGTCCTCTGATACCAGGTGGTCCTGTGCTTCATGGCACCAGAAAACTATGAAGGCCAAAAGACCCAATTCCCTCGCTCCGTTTTAAGCCTTGAAACAAATCTACCTTTATAGGGAAACTTTGAACCAAACCTGTTCTCCAAGAAACTTTTCCCCTCAAGTCTGTGGATTTCTCGAAATGTGAATCCCATCAATTTATACGCAAAATTTTGCAAGCTTGTACATACATGTTAAACAACTAAGCCTTTTGCACAAAAAAACCCCACTAAAATTAGTTTTACAAAGTGACGGTGTTTAATTTTTTTTTCTCCAGCAAGTATTCTGTAGAGCTTTTCACTGCATTTATACCTCTATATGCCTAGTCCTATTCCCACCCCATGTTTTTTGTTTGTCTTTATATTCCTGTTGCTTGTCAAAAGCATATGTGACTACTACTAAGGCCTTTATAAATCCGTTCTCTCCCCCAAATCTTCTCTCTCATAGCCCTCCTTTGACTACTCATTTAAAAATAGTAAACCCATCTCTTTTTCCTAACACTATGGCTTCACTTTCTGCATATCTCCTTGTCTTGGTTCAAAAGCATATTTTTACATAACTGCAATTAAAAATTAATTTTATTTACTTTTCCAAATTACTGAAGTGTAACATTAGTATAATAAATACAATCTTCATTGTAGTCTAGATTAAGATATAATTTATCATTTCTTTATTGAACATTTAGGTTGTTTCCAGTTTTTCACTATTAAAACCTAATAGTGCCAATGCACCTTTAGGCATAGGGTCTTTCTTTTCTGGTATGTCATTATGTTAAGTTCATAAGAGCAGGATTATTGATGTAAAGGTATCTTTATGGTCTTGGGTATAGGGTTGGAATAATGCAAGCAAAATGTTTTAAAGTGTGATTGATACATATTCTTGACTTTAAGAAAGTGGTAAATTAAATCATGGGTGCAACAGCTGTAGATTACTCATTCTGCATTTACTCTGTAGGAAGTTCAGGTCATGATTAAGTATGTTCTTTCATTTTTAATCAACTTCTGCTCTTTGAGGTGCATAATCTCAGCTTCCAAGGTTGAAGATCACATGATAAAGAACTGACCACAAAGACTGATTAAAATGTTGAGAATATTACATATACTAATGCCATTTTCAGCTTGTGACATCTGTCAATGTCATTTAACCTTAAAAAAAGACAAATTTATTTAAAAAGGCATTTGCAAGCAAAATAATTATATTTTATTGAAAATTCAGAAGTTACAGTACTTGAAGACAAATTTTTTATATTGTAAAGAAAATAAATTAAAAGAAAAAGAATTGACTCAAGTGCAATGATAGTTTTCATTCAAACTAACAAAACCATTTTGAAAAACAGATATCCACAGCTTAATTTATTTATGGTATAAATATGTATTTTCCTATTTATTATCAAGAAAACTAATGGAATAATTTTCAAAGTGATCTTTCAAAACATAATCTTTCTGGACCCAATTTAAATGGTACATTAGTACTAGTATCTTATTCACATAGATTACTGGTGTGTGTGCATGTACATGTGTGAGCATAAGACCAGCTAATTTTGATATGAAATTTTCAGAATTAGATTTATCACTTCATTTATCATAGGTCAATAAACAGCATTTTTAGTCATTTCTTAAGCATGTTTTCTTATCTCCTAGGAGAAAACCAATCACTTTCAGAAAGATGTTTAGTCTGGTAAGCAGCAGTGGCAAAAACAGATTAACCATAATACTGCCAAAGTATGAACTATTACAGTCAGCCATCTAATATTAGGAAGTATCTTGTTATGCCTTTAAGGTCAAAGTTTTTCAAATTTTCTTATGAAGGGAAAGCTAGTTGAGCCAAAATGATCAAAATAAACTCACTTTTTAAAAAACTCATTTTACATTATTAATGGCCTACATTTTTACCGAAATATTTTGTTCCTCAACAGAAAATATTCACTGAACCACTGGTGTTAAGTAATTTTATTTATTATTTCCATGATCTCAATTCTGTATCTTTTCCCTTTTAAATATAGGAGAACTGAGGTCAAGAGCTAATGTGGGTATACATGATCAGTAAACAAATGCACTACTCAGACACTGTACTAACACACCTACAGTGAAGAGATTCCACAGGTAAGCTATGGTAAGACCTGTGCTTTGCCACAGCTAGAAATGGCACTAATACAGAACTTTATTTCAATTGATATTTTTATAGTACTTGAAGTTAGAAAGCTTTTCTGTAATTATTAATGAAAATACTGAATGAAATTAGGCCGTTATAAAATATACAACATGCACACTGCATAAAATGCTTATAAAATGTTAAATTCATTGCCTAGGCAAGAGACAGAAATGGTTTTACTCAAGAATTCAGTGAGGAGAGAATTAAAACATAATGTGGCACTTATAGTACTTTTTTCATTTGATAACACCATAAAAATTGATCTTTAACCAAGAAGAAACCCTAGTTTTTATTGAACAGTGGAGAAATCTGTCCATGTGGGAAAAAGAAGATCCTCTGATAAAAAATGTCTGAGAACCAGTGTTCTGACTGGCCAACTCTGAAACTGGTGAAATGCTTCTGGATGTAGGAACAGTGATATCTGACTTAGAACACAAGTTATCAGAGGTAAATAAAGCTTCCTTTCCTGTCCCTCATTCCAGTAGTAAAAAAGGCTCTCAGGCACCTGATTAGCTTTCAGAGAAGAGACTTGACTGTGGTGGCAGATGAAATGCTGAATCATTTAGCCATAATACAATGGACCAAAGATACCAAATACAAAATCTGACAGGTGCAATCACTCTCACTTTTCCAGGTCCCAAAATAAAAGCAAGAGCTGGTCTAATCAAAAGATCTCAAAAAATCTTTAGATGTTATGACTCATTAAAAAAAAAATTTCAGATGAAAAATATTCCCACTGATTTTTTGTAAATAAAATACCTCATCAAAAAAAATCTATAAATAAGAGTACATTTGTACTTTACATAATAGTGTTTCCTGGTAAGAATTAAAACTACTCTTTCCCTTTTTAGCTCCTTTTCTGTATTTCAAATTTTCTCTTGTACTTAAAAATATTGATAATTTAGTAAATTAAGTACTGAATGTCAGTTCAGCACTCATTGCATAAGGAAGCCTGGTTGATAATGTGTTTAACATTTATTTATGCTGAATTTAAAATTTATTTATTGCTATGATAAACTACTCAAAATTTTATTGACTTTTATGAATTTAAAAGGAAAATAAACAGGTGAAAACACATAAAATTTCACACAGAGCACACAGACTAGAAATATTATCTAAAGACAGCTGACAAAAACTTAATAGTGCTTTCTATTAAGTAACGGTTTTTAAGGTATTTTTATACCAAGTTGTATATTTTTTTAAAATCTAATTTATTCTTAGATTCAAAATTATGGTTCAATTACGATTACTTTTCCTGTAACTTTTTCCACATTCTCTCAATATGACTAAAGTCTCAACATAACAGATTTGACACAAAAATATCACAATTACTGGTGATACTTTATGCCAATGTTAAAAAACAAAGTTTTGATTTTATGACTTTGTACCAAAATAAAGCTTCTGATATTTCTTTAGGATTTTACTTTATGACCTATTAATGATGGAGGCAAAAAAATATTTGAACTAAGTTAACATTTACTTATAAAAATATAGAATATGTACGCTAGTGATCTTGATGGTATAGTATTAAAAATTAAGAGTATCACCAGCCTGATTAAAAAGTTCAGCATATTTTAAAGTATGAATTTTTTTAAAAGCAGGGTTCTTAGTGTTTTAAACTTAATTTTCATCCTCCATGTGAACTGAGAGTCTTTGTTTTGGTTAATAACTGGGCTTGAAGAATATGGAGTAATTAGAAAGTATTTCTCTGGAAGAAACCTGGTGTGTCTCAGTATTTAATAGACAGTTTATTATTGTCTTAGTTTTTCCTAACCATGACTCTCTTTATGATTCTTTTATTCTTCCCATTCAGCTCAATAAAAGGCTATATATACTAAGGAAAGCCACATGGCTGTAAACAATGCACAAATCCTGTATTTTGTCAGATACCTATTTTCTGCCATTAAGAAAGATGACGCCTACAAAATCTAGAAAGGGAAGAAACAATAAGGAGAGCTGAAGCCATAAACAGGACAGTTGGGCACCTTTACCAGCCAGCAGTGAGTGGTTTCTATTCTAAGAAAACACTGCTGCTTTCCCTGGTTGAAGTTTATATGGCTGTAGTGCAGCCCTTTTAGAGTTTTCTGGTTTTCTGTTCAGGTCACATCTACTATTCAAAGATCACCTGATTTCATAGTATTAAAATATAATTAAATAGACTCAGCACTAAAGTTAAACTGAACATAATTTATTCCTTTTCTTAGATGTGACGTAAAACAAAATAATCCTGGACTGGAGTCAAATAACAGTATTCTTCACCTCAAGGGTGTGTGGTCTTGACCAAGTTACTTAACCTTACTGGGCATCAATTTACTCAGGTAAAAGGAAAGGGAATTGTATTGGGTAGCCTTAAAGTCTCTTTCAAATTTAATTGAAACAGTAAATCAGAATCTTGCACGGTGCCTCATGGTTTTCTTTATAAAAATCAACTACCATTACAGAATAGCATAAAAACAATTCTGGTTTTAATGTATTTCTGATGCTTATATTATGATTCATGAGAGTTTTCTACACTTCCAGGGGCTAATCATAAGTATCTGGATCTAATAAAAATATAATCGAGATGTTTTACATTGTACACAAAGTATATTCTGACATTCACTGGGATGGTTTGGCGATTTGTTACCCATGCCCTTTAATTCTCTTACTGTTGGAATCCTGTTCAGTCCTCAACTGGGTAGCAAAAGAGTAACATGAGGGTAAAAGAGAATCTTGGTTAAAGTATCTGATTGAATGAAGAATAACTGAAGTCTAAATCTTTAATTTTTTTACATTTTAATTTTTTCAATTTTCAAAACTAAATTTTGGGAAATTATTGTTAACACTTAAAACCAAGAATCTGTAGTTTACCAGTACTAGTAAAAAATTACAATCTACCAGCAAAATATCAATATTGTGCCAAAAGAAAACAGTCTTTTAAGTATATGGCAATGCATTCTACTAAGTTCTTATTTTAATCATTTCTAGAATTGAGACAAAAGTAGAAGACTTGTAATTGTGTGTCAACTATTTCGAACCAGATGTAAAGCATGTTGAATTCAAATTTAGAGACGGACTCTGTGGAGTATCAGCTATAACTTTGGAAGTAGGATAAATAATTTCTTCAACAGTTACATAGGTACCTAACAAGAAACCAACAACTCCAGTAAATGCTATAGAAATATTTTTCAGGATCATCCATATATTGTAGTGTTCCTTAGAAAATGTAAGAATTTCAACTAAAGGTGGCAGGATCAGGGCCAGTGTGCTGCTGCTCACAGCTCCAACAAAGGAAATCACAATGTCTAAACGAGGAATCAGAATTGCTCCAGCACCTAGACAATGAAAACAGATATTTTTATTTAACTATTTAATACTTGCATGAATAGTAAATATAGATATTTTTAATACATTAAAATTAATTAATGCAAGTAGGCACTACTAAACTATTGCTTGTGGAAGAATGCCATATCTTATTGTAAGCGAAAAAAGAAAAAGAAACCAAAGTGGTGAGTGACATGTCTTGGACTTTGACTTGTTAATAGAGTTCTTGTATAAACAACTTTTAATTTTTTGCTGTGAAATTCTGGGCAAAGAAGTTTGGATAGTTTATTTCGAAACCATTTTTATTACTCTGCCATTCAGCTCATTCTAGATGAAATGGTGTGATACAAATAAATCATTAAGTAAATGAGGAAGAAGAGAGCTATTTCTTACACTAGAATTTCAATTAACCAAAATAGAAGGAACAATGGAAATAGAAATCATTATTAAGCAAACACCACAGTGATAATTGTTGTATGAAAAGTCACCGAAGGATGCGAACTTATGTTTGTGGGCCAAACTATATGAGAACAGGATATTTGCATAGTCTCAAAATATCTCCCTACAAGATACTTAGTTATAAAGGGAAAAAGAGTTTCTTTACAGTAAAGAAATTTCTCAAACAATTCAACCAAGTGATTAAATTAACATCACCAATAATAAGACGTAATTATACCACGATGTGATGCACTGAGAAATACAAAGTATCACCTGTCAAATTTGTGTTAAAAATGCTTAACTTCAATCTAATCATAAAAAAGCATCATACAAATCGAAACTGAAAGAAATTTGGCAAAATTATTGACATTTCAAAAGCGTCAAAGTGAAGAAAGACAAAGACAAAAACTGTCAGGCCTGGAGGAGACTAAGCAGACATGAGACCTAAATTCAAGTGGGACATTGCACTGGTTCCTGGATCAGGAAAAAGATAGTAGTGGGAAAACTGGCAAAATCAGAATAAGGTCTATAGATTACTTAGTAGCACTGTATCAATGTGAATTTCCTGGTCTTAATAATTGTAGGAGGTGGGTCCAAGATGGCAGCAAAAGAGGACATGGAGCTGTCCCACCCATGAACACACCAAATGTGCACCTGTATTTACAGTAATTCCTCCTGAGATACAACTGAGGGACAAATGAACAGCTTCTGCAGAACAAAGAAGAGAGAGATTGCATCGATTCTGGGAGCCCACCCAGAATCTGAGGGAACCCATCAGGAATGGAGGCGTCAGCGAACACCATTGTTTACATTTCCCCGGCACTTGGATAGCTCAGGCCAGAGTTCTACCAGGTGCTCTGGCCCACCTGTGAGGCTGCAGTAGCGTGTCCCCAGCGACCCCTCCTGGAGCTAGCTCCAGCAAAAACAACTGTGCGTCATAGCGGGTGCACACAGTGTCCCCCAACCCCCAATCCAGAGCTACATTCAGCAGGCACAACAGGGTACTGAGGCTTGCCTGCACCGGGCCACTGCTACATGTATCCACTGGGCTGCCCCATCGGAAGCCACAGAACCACTAGGGAGTCCTCCTAAGTGCATGCTGGTCAGCCCTGCCCGGAGTGAGAGGGAAATGGGCACTGTGGTGCACATCTACAGGACGGTCCAGCTCAGACCATGCTCTTGCAGCAGTCAATCAAAACAGAGGGTGAGCCATGGATGCACAGAGGAAGCTGCACCTGGAGGAGGAGGGAGACAGCAGTGTGCGGCCACTGTGTGCACCTGGACAGGGCCTCCATCCCAGGGCAGCAGCAGACAATCGAAACCACAGGATGCGCTTTGAGCATACAGCTGAAACCCCCCAGTAAGAGGGAGACGGTAGAGGGCTGCTGCAGCCATGCCTTCAAAGGGCCCCCAGACCAGCAGCAGTCAATCAAAACAAAAGGGCTTGAAAAAAAATAAATAAAGTTAAACATACAATTACAAAAAAAGGGGCCTGCCTCACTCTCACACAGCAGGCAGCCCGCCCAAATCAAGGGCAGAATCAGTAGACTCTGTAGCACAAGACTACAGGACTGCCCTACCCAGCACAGCCAGGAAGCCCACACACACCAAAATGCCCCAACCTGATCCCACACCTTCTGGCCAGGTGGCACCCCAGGTGCCTGCCCAGACTCCAACCAACATACCAGGAGCACCAGGTACGCAGTCTACACAGAAGCCACTTTTACATGAGACTACTTTTTCAAGATTGGGAAAGAAAGCTATTTATTTCATTTAACTCATAGGAACAAGTCCAGAAAGTAAAAAATAAAAATAAAAAGATAAAAAATAGGGAGACAAAACAATATGCCCCAAATGAATAAACAAGATAAAATCCCACAGAAAAACTCAAATGGAGATCAGTAATTTGCCTGGCAAATAATTCAAGGAAACAGTTCTAAGAATGCTCAACAAAATTCAAAGTAGAATAGTGGAACTCACAGAACTTCAAGAGTTATAAAATATAAACAATAAACAGCCATTCAGAGATAAAGAATAACAGGTGTAAAACACATTAGAAGGAATCAACAGCAGATTGATTATTCAGAAAAACATTAGTGAGTGGAAGACAGAGCCCTGGAAATCACCTAATCAAAACAGCAAAAAGAAAAAGTAAATTTTAAAATGAGTATAGTCTAAGGGAAGGGACCTCTAGGACAACATCAAAAACTCTTAACATTCGTATTGTAAGGATTGCAGAAGGAGAAGAGAGAAAGGGAAAAGAAGTATATTTGAAGAAATAATGAATGAAAACATTCCTAATCTAGGGAAGAAAACAAGACATCCAGGTCCAGGAAGCACAGAGAGTCCCAAACAAGATGAACCCAAAGAGGCCCACACCAAGACATAATGTAATCAAAATGGCAAAAGTTAAAGAGAAAGCGACAATCTTTAAGGCAGCAAGAAGGAAACTAGTCATAAGCAAGGCAAACTCCACAGACTATCAGCTGATTTCTCAACAACAACTTTACAGGCCAGAGGGGTGTGGCAGGGCATCTTCAAAGTGCTAAAGAAAGGAACCTACAACCTACTGGGTTGTCGGAAAAGTCATGATGTATTTTTTCTATGTTTTTCATTGCAAAAATGCGTCATGACTTTTCCAACAACCCAATAGAATGCTATACCTGGCAAAGTTATCATTCAGAATTGAAGGAGAGATAAAGAATTTACCACCACTAAACCCACTTTACAAGAAACGTTCTGTATGTCTTTATACAGAAAAGAAAAGGCCATAATCAGAAATAAGAAAATACAGGAAAGAAAAAAATACCACTGGTAAAGTCAAATATATAATCAACACAGTTAATTAACTACTTAAACTAATATGAAAGTCAAAAGACAAAAGTAGCAAAATTAACTACAATAAATAGTGAGGGGATACACAACACAAAAAGATATAAACCATAATGTCAATAACAAACTGTGGAGAGGGAGTAAAAATGTAGTGCTTTTGGAATGTGTTTGAACTTAAACTCATATCAGCTTAAAACAGACTGCTATAGATGGATATATATGAACCTCATGGTGACCACAAACTGAAAACCTAGAAAAAATAAAAAGAAACGAACTCAAAACACTAAAGAAAACCAGCAAATCAAAAGCGAAGTGATAAAGAGAAGAAGAAAGGAACACAGGAGAATAGCAAAAACAACAACAACAACAAAAAAAAACAATTAACAATATGACAATCAGCACATACCTATCAAAAATTACTTTAAATATAAATAGATTAAACACTCCAATCAAAAGACATAGGGTGGCAGAATACATAAAATAAAAAGACCCAAAAGGCACCATCTATATGGTGCCTACAAGAGACTCACTTAAGATTGGAAGACACACATAGCCCGAATGTAAAGAGATTGAAAAAGAGTTCAAGCAAATATTGGGTTGTCGGAAAAGTCATAACGTATTTTCCCTATATTTTTCGTTGCAAAAATACGTCACGACTTTTCTGACAACCTAATAGAAACAAACAAACAAAAATGCTGGGGTAGCAATGCTCATATCAAACAAAATAGACTTTAAAACAAAGACTGTAAAAAGAGGCAAAGAAGGACATTACATGATAAAAGGGTCAATCCAAGAAGAGGATATAACAATTGTAAATATTTATGCACACAACATAGGAGTACCCAAATATATAAAGCAAATATGAATGGAACTAAAGGCAAACATTAGCAGTAATACAATAATAGTTGGGGACTTTAATAGCCTACTTACCTCAATCATTCGGACAGAAAATTAATAAGGAAATAATGGCCTTAAATGTCACATTAGGCTAGATCAATTTAACAGACATTTTTAGAACATTTCATCCTCAAACTGCAGAATACACTTTTTTCTCAAGTGCCCATGGAATATTTTCCAGGATAGACCTCATATCAGGCCATAAAACAAGCTTCAAAAAACTAAAGCAGAATAAAATCACAGCAAGCATATTTTCCAGCCACCATGGCATGAAACTAGAAATCAACTACAGGAAGAAAACTAGAAAAAACACAAATACATGGAGATTAAACATGTTGCTAAACAATCAATGGGTCAAAGAGGAAATCAAACAGGAAATCAAAGACTACCTTGAGAAAAATGAAAATACAACTTTTGCAAATTTATGGGATGCAGCAAGAGCAATTCGAAAAGGAAAGTTCACAGCTATACAGGCCTACCTCAAGAAACAGAAAAACGTTCCAAATAAACAGTCTATGTTTACACCTAGAGGAACTAGAAAATGAAAAACAAACAAAACCCAAAGTAGGTAGAAGGAAGGAAATAATACAGATCCGAGTGGAAATAAACAAAATAGAGACTTAAAAAAAAAAAAAACAATAGAAAGGACAAATGACACTAAGAGCAGGTTCTTTGAAAGGATAAATAAAATTGACAAACCTCTAACCAGACTCATCAAGAAAAAGAGCACCCAAATAAAATCAGAAATGAAAGAAGAGAGATTACAACCAACAACACAGAAATACAAAGGATCATTAAAGAATACTATGAACAATCATATGCCAACAAATAAGAAATCTAGAAGAAATGGACAAATGTTTAAAAACATAGAACCTTCTAAGACTAAACCAGGAAGAAACAAGAAATTTGAACAGATTACTAGCAATGAAATTGAAGCAGTGATCAAAAAACTCCCAAAAAGCAAAAGCCCAAGACCAAACAGCTTCACAGGTGAATTTTACCAAATATTTAAAGAATACCTATTCTTCTCAAACTATTCCAAAAAACTGAAGAGGAAGAAACTCTTCCAAACTCATTCTATGAGGTTAGCATTACCCTGATACCAAAACCAGATAAAAACACTACAAAATAAGAGAATTATAGGCCAATATCCCTGATAAACATAGACACAAAAAATTCTCAACAAAATACTAGCAAACTGACTCAACAATGCACTAAAAAGTTTATACACCATGATCAAGTGGGATTTATATCAGGGATCCAAGGACAGTTCAATAAACACAAAACAAATAATGTGATACAGCACATCAACAAGACCAAGGATAAAAATCATATGATCATCTCAATAGACGCAGATAAAGCATTTGACAAAATTCAACATCCATTTATGATAAAAACTCTAAACAAAGTGAGCATAACAGGAACTTACCTCAACATGATAAAGGTTATATATGACAAGCTCACAGCTAAAATACTCAATGGTGACAAGCTGAAAGCTTTTCCTCTAAGACCAGGAACAAGACAAGGATATCTACTCTCACCACTATTATTCAATCTAATATTGGAAGTCCCAGCCACAGCCATCAGACAAGATAAAGATATAAAAAGCATCTAAATTATACAAGAATAAGTAAATCTGTCTCCATTTGCGGATGACATGATATTATATATGAAAAACCCTAAAGACGCCACCAAAAAATAGAATAAATGAATTCAATAAAGTACAAAAATAGCTTACAGAAATCCATCGTGTTTCTATACACTAATAATAAATGATCAGAAGAAGAAATTATGAAAATTCCGTTTACAACTGCACCAAAATGAATAAAATACCTAGGAATAAATTTAACCGAGATACGAGACCTGTATTCTGAAAAATATAAGACACTGAAGAAAGAAATTGAAGAGGACACAAATGAAAGTATGTACTGTGCTCATGTATTGGAAGGATTAACATCATGAAAATGACCATACTACCCAAAGCAATCTACAGATTCAATACAATCCCTGTCAAAATACCTGTGGCACTATTCTCAGAACTAGAACACATAATCCTTAAATTTACACGGAATCACAAAAGAACATGAACAGCTAGAGCAATCTTGAGAAAGAAGAACAAAGTTGGCGGTATCATGCTCCCTGATTTCAAACTATACTACAAAGCTATAATAATTGAAACAGCATGGTACTGGCACAAAAACAGACACACAGATCAATGGAGCAGAATAGAGAGCCCAGAAATAAACCCTCACTTACATGGTCAATAATCTATGACAAGGGAGGAAAGAATATACAATGGAGAAATGACAGTTTCTTCAACAAGTGTTGGGAATACTGGACCACTCTCTTACACCATATAAAAAATTAACTCAAAATGGATTAAAGACTTCAATGTAAGACCTGAGACCAAAAAACTCCAAGAAGAAAACACAGGTAATAAACTATTTGACATCAGTATTAATTAGTAACATCTTTTTGGATATGCCTCCTCAAGGAAAGTAAACAAAAGCAAAAATAAACAAATGGGACTTCTGCAAACTAAAACGCTTCTGAACAGCAAAAGAATCCATTAACAAAAAGAAAAGACAACCTACTGAATGGGAGAATATTTTTGCAAATGATATAGCTGATAAGGGATTAATATCCAAAATTTATAAAGAACTCAAACAACTCAACACCAAAAAATAATCCAATCAAAATAGGCAGAAGACATGGAGACATTTCCCCAAAAAAGACATACAGATAGCCAACAGACATATGAAAAGATGCTCAACACCACTAATAAAGGAGATTCAAATAAGAAATCACATGGAGATACCACCTGACATGCGTCAGACTGGCTATTATCAAAAAGTCAACAAATAAGTGTTGATGAGAATGTGGAGACAAGGGAATCCCAGTGCACTGTTGATGGGACTGGAATTTGGTACAGCCACTATGGAAAACAGTATGGAGGTTCCTCAAAAAACTAAAATAGAACTACCTTATGACCCAGCAATTCCACTTTTGGGTATTTATCTGAAGAAAATGAAAACACTAATTTGAAAAGATATATGCACCCCTATGTTCACTGTAGCATTATTTACAATAGCCAATATATAGAACCTAGGTGTCTGTCAATAGGTGAATGGGAAAAGAAATGTGGTACACTGGAATATTACTCAGCCATTAAAAAAAAATGAAATCTTGCCATTTGTGACAATGTGGATGGACCTAGAGGGTATTGCTAAGTGAAGTAAGTCAGACAGAAAAAGATAAATACTGCATGATTTCACTTATATGTGGAATTTAAAAAAAAATCAAAACAAACGAACAAACAAAAAACAGACTCAAAGAACAGAACAAACTGATGGCTGCCAGAGGGGAGGGGGGTGGAGGGATGGATGAAAAAGGTGAAGGACAATATAGTTAATAATAGTGTGATAATTTTGCACAGTGACAGATGGTTACTAGACTTAGTGAGGTCAGCACATTGTAAGACATATAAATGTCAAATCACGTTTTACACCTGAAACTAATATTGTATGCCAACTATACTTTAATGAAAAATGATTACTTTGAAAATAAGTTTTATCTACTTTTACCAGCTTTGCTTTTTCTTCAAACAAAATGTTATATATACCCAATTTTTAAAATCTAGGCATAAATCCCACCCCAAGCTGCTCAGTGCAATTTATAGAGTTGCGCAGAATTTCTAGCTCTACTATGCAATAACCCTAAATGGCCAAGATGGTTATTAATATCTTCCACAGAATTTCCAAAGCTGCCTATTGCCCAGAACACCAGTAATCTGCTTCCTGGTATCATTCTAGGCAATCCCATTAGTTAGTTCACTGTTGCGGTCATCCTTCTATTTGTAGTTATAATGGTGACAATAATGATAATAGTAATTTTAAGGTACTTTGCTGATATTTTTGAACCCTACAAAAAGGTCATAAGGCAGTCTTACCTTTATTTCACAGTTGAAGGAAGGGGGGCTAAAAGACGATGTGTAACTTCCCTAAGGACACCAGCAAGTAAGAGGTAGGGCTGAGTTTGACCCATCAGGTCAGTGTGACTCCCAAACTCACACTTTCCACTAGAACAAGCTCAAGCTCCCTTTCCACAAGCCTCCATTATTAATGCTACTGTGTGGAGGCATTTTCTAATGTGAAACGTTAATAAAAGATTATATACATTCCTTCAAATAATAAGTGAAATAAGCCACTGAAATTACTAAAGACCAAAACAAAACAAAATCCATTCCTATATGTAGTCATGGAAAGTTAAACCATTAAACATACAAAAGTCAGCAGGAATAAAAAACCTGAGGAAAACTAGAACCAAAGTAAAATGTGTATGAACAATATAAGGGGTCCCTTATGCATCTGATTTAAATATATTTTACTCATGACTGATGGTATTTTCAAAATAATAATTTGATTAGTTATTTTAAGTATAATAGGATCTGGTTATGTTTTTCTTATATAGTAGTAGAATAGCAAAATTTTAAACTAAAAAGTATCTCAGCTAGGTGAATAAAATTATTTAAAAATATTTAAAAATATACTTTATGTAGCTTCATTACACAAAATTCAACAATAAAAATTATTATGAAATAAACATGAAGTGATACTTACAAGTAATGCTAACCAAGGCAGACCTTATCACAAATTCACAGATTTGCTTCCATTTAGCCTGAAATTTGGATGTGATCATAGGGATAATGATCTCTGCTGGAACATAGAACTGAATGGAATATGTCACAAAGATGCCAAAGGAATATAGAATTTTCACTGATTGATATAACCTGTTAAAAAAAAATTCAAAATTTAGTCATTCTTTTTTGTCCAGCTTTACTGAGGTACAACTGACAAATAAAATGGAAATATATTTAAAGTGTACAATGTGATGATGTGATATACATATACCTTGTGAAAGGATGCCCATAATCGAGTTAAGACCCATCACCTTACATATTTTTGCTTTTCTTGGTGAGAACACTTTGGTTTTACTTTCTTAGCAAATTTCAATTATACAATACAGTACTATCAACGATAGTCACCATGTTACACATTAGATCCTCAGACCTTATTCATTTTAGAACTGAAAGTTTGTACCATTTTATGAAACTTTCTTATTTTCCCCATCTACCATTCCTTGGCAACCATCCATCTACTGTTTATATGAGTTGGACTTTTTTTTTTTTTTAAGATTTCACATGTTAAGTGATAACCACGCAGTATCTGTCCTTCTCTGTCTGGCTTATTTCACTTAGCATAATGCCTTCCAGGTTCATCCACATTGTTATCTTAATATAAATCTAGCTTTTTCCTTTTTTCTTCTTAATGTTAAGATAGACAAGGAATCCAACACAAACTTAAGCCAGTATCTTACTAAATACTTTATATAAAAAAGCCAGCTGATTTCAACCAAATTTCTAGATGACAGATGGACAATTCATTTTAACAAGTCTAGAAAGCTTGAAGATGGAATGAAAAGGTTTGCAAAATATCGTTGGAAAGATTTCATGTTAGGCTAAGCCAATGTTCTTAATTAAGGTTAGGCTGAGCTCCACGGAGAGCTAATGCTTTCTCAACTTTCTTTTTAAAAACTGAGCATATTGTATGTCTTTCATATTGCAGTGATTTATATATAGAAGAAAAACTTCACATTGTGTTATACAGTTCTCCTTGCTTGAAAATCCTCGTAGGTATATTATTAGTTGCAGAAATATCATTCTCATGTCTAAAAAGAGGGCATCTAAATGGTTGCAACTTGCAAAGTTCTCTAGATTATATAGGAATTCTACCTATGTTAAAGTTACATTAATCGGGGAAATAAAGTTGTTGGGTCGGGTTGTGTTTTGTCCAAGTAACTTATCTTTTGTGATGCCCAGTGCTTGCAAACAGCACGGCAATTTTCAGTTTTATAAATATCTTTAAGATAGCCTCCTGTCAAAATTAAGTATGCATGTCATAATCAAGACTTTGGAAAAATGCCTTTTATCTGGCAGAAGAGATTTTTTAAATGCTGATAATGACACAGAGAGAATATGCAGAATTGTAGGACTCCTAGGGACACTACAAATAACCCTTGGGTTACAAATAATAAAATTATGTGTTGTATTTTTTGAAATTCTGAATATTTTACAATAATCAAAAGAAAAACACAATCATTCTTGTATTCTTTAAGAAACAAACTACAGAGGAGATGATGGAGCGAATGAGCCACAGCATTAGTGGGAGTGTTTAACATGCTTATCCTTTTTCAGTGGAAAAGTCACTGATAGCCAGTCTTCCCACTTACGAGTTCTACTTACCCATCTAAGAGGCCTATGCACAGGAGTGTTTTCTTCTTAGGAAAAAATGCAATTATTTTAAAAGAATATAAAATATTCCACTTTTGGTAAAGCCCTAACATGATTTAGGCTTATGAAATACTGCCATTTGTGACAACATGGATGGATCCTGAGATTATTATGCTAAGCAAAATAAGTCAGACAGAAAAAGTCGAGACCCATATGACTTCATTCATATGTGGGATATAAAACTGAAAATGACAAGGAACAAGACAAACAAAGAAACAAAAACTCATGGACACAACAGTTTAGAGGTTACCAGAGAGTAAGGGGGGACAGGGGTGGTAGATGAGGATAAAAGGGATGAAATATATGGTGACTGAAGGAGAATTGACTCTGAGTGGTGAACACACAATGTGATATAAAGCTGATGTATTACAGAACTGTACACTTGAAACCTATATAATTTTACTAACCACTGTCACCCCAATAAATTTAACTAAAAATAAAACAAAAAAGTAAAAAAAAAATACTTAAAGTAGTAAAGATTATAAACAGTACTCTCAACTGTAGCCAAGCAAAAAGGAATTCAGTAATTCTCTTCCTGCAACATATTCATCATAGAATAAGGGGAAGGAAAAAAAATCTGAGTAGAAATAGATTTGAAAACACTACAGACAGCATAGTTAAGAAAAGAAGAAACTCTGTAGGGCTGGCAATAATAAAATCATAACTTTAAAATGATCACGGGATATATTTCTCAGCTTAAGGTTTTAAGATTCAACACAAGATAGTCAAATTACTGAAATTTACAAAATAACTAATAGACTCTGGTTTCATATACTGTGATACATAATTATAAGAACTGAATGTTCTTATTAATTAGAACATTCCTTTTTTAAAATTGTTTTTCAATTTACATGTTTTAAAAATATATTTATATATTAATATATAAATACATATATTTAAAAGTATATGTATTAACTATATTAAACATATTTTTAAACATTTTTCAAATATATTTCAAAATATTTTAATATATTAAAAAATATATTTAATATATTTAAAATTAATATATTTAAAAATACATTATGCATATAATTATTTTTTATTGATATAAAACAAATTACATAGGCTAAGAATCTGGTTATTATTAATACCATTCAATAATATTAATTATATGTAATTACTATTATTTGGTGTTACACAGAATAAAAATGAGAAATAAAATGGTTTGGGTATTTTGGAAGCAGGTGTACTTGCTAATCAACCAAAGAGGAGTAATATACAAATGAGTGTTTAAGAAAAGGGCTTCGGTCTTTTAAAATCAATTGTTTCACTTTAACTTTTATTTGTTTTCTAGTTTAAGAACCGACTAAGTTTCTATGTTTGACATCTATATTTTCAATCACTCTGTTTCTCTTCTCTTTTCTAGAGGTATTACCAACTTTTGCTTTCATTGTGGTTTTAAGCAAGCACCTATGGTAAGAGTACTTTATGTACTAAGTTTTAGAAATGAACTGCTGAAAGATGAATCTACCCAGTAAACTCTCTCCAAAGGATAAAAAAAACTCTTAAAATCACGAGAATTTATTTTGAGGATATCTAAGAACATAAAACAACTTGTAAGTAACATGTAGTGCACATTAAAAGATTTTAAAAATTGCCAAAGTTCCTGAAAGTTAGAGACTATGTTTTATTCTTCTCTGTATACCCGCCCCCCAATAGACTTAGTAGGTGATATGTATTTATTAAATGTTAAATTAATATTAGTGATAGAAAATGGATATAGGCAAGTAATTTTTAGAAACTACATCCATACAATATCACAAATAAAAATACTTCAAAGATTAAAGTGATTCCTGCTTGAAAACAAAATCTCTTACACTGGTAGCAAAACATCTTAGTACAGAGCAGAAAGTATTTTTTAAATAATTATTTTGTGGTCAATATATGAAATCAGATTATGGGGGACAACCAAATGTTTCAGTAAAAGCACTAGTTTTAAAAATACAGGATTTCAAAATTTGCAATGCTTCTATTCTTTTCTGGCTAACAAATACTTAACCTAAATTTTCAGGTATTAATATCTTGAAATTTTAAAAAGATAGCCTAGGAAATAAATACGTTATTAACTGATTCTCTCTCTCATGGCTGAATATAGAAGCTCTCCTGGAAAGAATCGGATAACTCACTTTCCCTCCTAGACCCCTCATGATACTCAGGTTAAGAATCTTGGGTTTAGCTCTGTTAAGAAAAAAAGTCTTTGAGTACCAACTGCAATTCTTACGAAGAACCTCACCTCATTCTAAGCTAAAAACTAAGTCAACTGGGGTTATTTAGTATTCATCACTAGACTGAACAATTTGAACCACTGAACTTTTGTAGCATGTTCACGAATGAAAGCATTGTGAAAAAGAAATTTTTATTTGTTTACCATTATTATCTCTAGTGCCAGAACAGTAACCAGTACACAAAAGGCATACAATAAATATCTGTTAGATGAATAAATGAATTTGGTAGATGGCCTACATTTTGAATTTACCTAATAATAGTCATTCTGATGAGGAAAGGCAGCGGCAGTTCGGGCCGGGATTCCTAGTTACAGGCAACTTTAATATTGGAAGGAGATTATTAAGAATATCTGAGGGAGAGGACAGAGGGAACAGTCCAGGATATACGAATCTTCTTTTCCCAGATTCCTTACGTTTATGTCTCTATTTATTTATTTGTCTCTTGGTGAGTCCATTCTTGCTTAAACATTTTCATCCTAGGTAATAAACTCTTCAGAGTTCTTGAAATAAATTGATCTGATAGTCCCTTTTTAATCATGACTTGCAACGAGTTCATTTCTAACTGGAGAGCCATAGCAATTAGGGATAAGGCAAAAGGTATAAGGGGATGCAGAAAAGGAAAGTACTAATTAGGTCTATTGCAGGGACAGTATTACCTCAGATGTAGCTGTGAATACTGAAAGCGTTCCCTACTTATTTCTGCCCACTGTTCCTTCACCATGTTCTCAACACTCTGGGGACAGAAACATCTTAACTGGATGAATGCACACTCCCACTTCATTCCCTTCTCCCTTAAGATTTTCTTTAAATACTTTTGTGAACAAGTGTAGGAAAGAATTCTGAGATTGTTTCCACCTACATTTTATATTTGACATGAAAAGTACTTGTCCAATTTATTTATACATCACTTTTAAGAGTTAGTCTAATTATTATTCAAAGTGGGAAAAATACCATTCTATTTTCTAGACATTGTATAGTATTTAAAAAGAAAAACTATACTGCCATAATTTTTAGCCTTGATTCTCTTATATTAAGCTGTATAAATTTCTAGTCCCTATTAAACTATTACAAAAAAAAGAAGCACATTTGAAGGAAACAAAATTAGATAGTTAATTATAACATAGGTTAATGAAATAAATGCTGAACTGTATATCTTGTTTATAGAAGATATAAGGTTATTTATGTTTCCATATTGAAATACATTTATAGAATATGTCATAGGTAGAGTAAAACTATAATTAAAGGAAAAGATAAACCCACTGCTGTTGCCCCTTGTGCAACCTGGAAACTCCTTTAGGTGTGTTTCCTTTATCATAAATGGCTTCCTGCATATACTTATTCTGACAAGTTTTGACTCCAATAAAGACTCGGGATTCAAATGATTACTGAATGGTAGATACACTCTCATCAGGAAGCCAGTCAGAAAATGTAATATTTAACATTTAAGGTTTCAGACTTCTATCCAAGCAGCTAAAGGAGCAATGTAATATTAATTAAATAATCAATTTAGCATTTACTCTCTGCATTTATCAAGACTAAGGAATTACCTTTCATTTTATAAATAAGGGAGCAAGTATGCATGGTAATCACTGCCAATATCTTTTTTCAATCTCCAAAAACCAATCTCTGGAAGAAGGAAAAACCCTATATACTACTTATTTAGCAGAATATGATTCTAATATTAAAGAGACTATTAAGACACCATATTATTTATTTATAATGTGCCTTGTGTTCTGAAAGGATTTGGGGTACATACAATATTAATGCTGACCAGTAAAATACTAAGGGCCATAAGTGACAGATATTATTATATCAGGAACCCAGAGTATTGGATTTTTTTGGCAGCAAGGGTATTAAGTTTCTTATTAAAGTGAGTCCATATTAAAAGAATCCATGTTTAACTCTTCTACTTTACTCAAATTTGGAGCATGCTACAATTTTTAATCTTTTTAATAAATCCCACAAAGATCTGTAAAATCATAGACGGTTTCCTCTGAAGATTACTAAAAAATACAGATTAGTATTAACAAACTCTTATCAACCTACCATACATCTTGAGGAAGATTTAAAGTTATGCTGCCTTTGATTTCATCCTGGAAACACATATATCCTAAGGTAGCTAATGTTATATACAAAGTTGTAACAATTCCCATGCCAATATTCAATGCTTGGGGGAAGCGTTTTGATTCTTTCATTTGATTTTCCAATGGAAGGACCTAAGAAGAGAATGCAAATAATACAAATAATTTAAAACAATCTAGTATCCTGTCATATATATACAAACTAATCTTTCATAGTTTATATGCAAATCTTTTTTCGTTTAAAACACTTATAATTGTTGAAGTATTTTTCTAGGTGTTATACATATATTTTTTACACTGCAGATATTTAAATTCTTAAGAAGATTTTAAAATCAGCTCTCAGCAAGTAAACCTGTCAGTTTAAAAAAAAAATAAATTTGAACACTTTCCCCTACTGTTAACTTTTTATACAACCGAAGTACATTTGTCACAACCAAGAACCAACACTGGTACATTACTATTAAACTCCAAATTTTATTTGGAATTCATTAGTCTTCCCACTAAGGTCCTCTTTCTCTCCCATGTCTCCTTCGTCTCCTCTGGTTTGTGACAGTTCCTCAGTCTTTCCTTATTATTCATTATCTTGACCATTTGAGGAGTATTGGCTAGATATTTGGTATAACGCCCCTCTACTTGGGTTTGTCTGATGTTTTCCTCATGGCTAAACTGGGTTATCACCACAGAGGTAATATCCTTCTCATCACACATGGTATCAGCATGATTTATCACTGGTGAGGTTAATTTTGATCACCTGGTTAAGGCAGCGTTTGCCAGGTTTCTCTGCTTGTAAAGTTCTTTGTTCTCCCCCCTCAGCATACTCTATTCTTTGGAAGCAACTCAGTCAGTGCAGCCAGCCCATATTCCAGGGACTTGGGGGGATTAAGCTACACCTCCTGGAGGGGGAGTAGCTACATATATTATTTGGAAATCCCCTCATGTACTTATTTAATCATTTATTTATATTAGTATGGAGTCGTATATATATATATTTGTTTTATATATTTATTTTATATGTTTATTTATTTCATATATAATTGTTTTATATGAATCTCTGAGTATGAATCTAAAACACTGTTATTTATTTTGTTGCTGATATTGTTCCAGCTTTGATGGTTGTAAATTCTATCAGGTTGGTGCCCGTGTCCCCTCAACTTGCCTCCATTCTTTTGTGTGTGTTTTTTGAGCACTTTCATATTTTTTGGCACTACAAGATGCTCCAGACTCATCTCAAATTTCTTTGCTTCAACCCTAGAATCAACCATTCTGCCAAAGAGCTTTGGTTCTTTTGTTGAGAATGGTATTTAGAAATCAAGATCTGGATGCAGGGTGTGCTTGTTGCTAGTGGGGTATCACTGCTGTGGGGCCTTTGAGCAGACAGTGCTAGAAAACATGTATGCACACAAACCCATGAACACATATGTCTATAATGATTTCCATATATATTCATCTGTATCTATTACCTGTCAATTTAGTGAGATGAATACATTATTTTCATTACATAAAAAAGTTAAAAGAAAAAAGACTAACTGAAAAGTTTAGTTTTTTTAGGCGAATCTTCAGAGATTTTGGCCATAAGATTTGACCATACAGGAAAGAACACTAAGTAATAATAATAGCAAGTATTTCCTGAGGGCTTACAGTGTGCCACATATTTTTCTAAAAGCTTTGCATGTAGCATCTGATGTTGTCCTCACAATAACCCTGAGATCACAACTGTGATAAAATTATTTCCACTTTTCAGGTGAATATGTCAGGTTCATATGGAAATATTAACTAGTTAATAGAAGAGAGATCAGAGAATGATTTCGATGCTCTGGAGGTAATCCAGAACTGAAACAAGAGGCTATGGTCAAGAATGGTGTCAGTACAGGTAGAAAAGGGAAAAGGGGAGAAAATTAACAATTACAGAGGCCCTGAGTCAGGCAGCATTGTAGGTGCTTCAATTACAATCTCATTTATGTAACAAATTTAAGGGGACATGGAAAAATTAACATGCCTTAATTACTGAGTGTAATGAGGAAACCAGTGACAGAGCAAACAGAATTATCGCAATGTTTCAAGTTTGAGCAGCTCAAAGTAGAACTAAAAGATATGGAGAAGTGAGAAAGTGAAGCCGGTTTTGGAGAAGAAAGTATGTGTCACTTTGGAGCTGTTGAATTTGAGATGTCAGAGGAAAAACACTTAGCAGAAATGTCCAACATTTACTAACTAGAGCTTAGTAGGTTAAGACAGAAATGAAAATCTGCAGTTATGCCTATAAGTGGAGCTGTTAAGAACTTGTGAGAATTCTCTAAAGGAGAATTCAGAAAGAGCAGAAAGCCAAGTAAAATGGTATAAAGTTGTCTTTTAGGTCTATTTTGTCTGTGGTTCATATAAATAGATGTTTATAGGTGGTTTTGCTCCCATACCAAACAATCAGACTATGAAACATAAGCTATGGAGTACAGCAGACAGTAATATTCTATTTTCCCCAAATCTACACATTCTAGACTTTTTATAAAACTGGAAGCATCTTCAATGGAAATATTTAAAATCTTAGAATCTTCAAGATGTTTGTATGTCTTGGTATTAGCTTTATGATAACATCATTTCTCAAAACAAATACGATACGCACAAATCTAAAGTGAGAATTTACATTGGACTTTTTTTATGTAACAGTAATTTTGTAACAATTTCAATTCACTTCAAATAATCTAGTCTACAAAAAGAGATGTTTGGGATTTGTATGAATATAACCCAGGCTTGGTAGAGTAGATGAACCATAGCTAAAACATAATTGGCTGTGAGTTAATGATTTTTGAAGCTGGGTGATGCTTACATAAAAGTTCATACTATTATCTAAATTTTATATAGGTTTGAAATTTTCCATAATAAAATGTTTAAAATAACTACTCAAATGTCCTCATTTTACAGATTAAGAAAAAGAGAATTAGAGAGTTTAAGTAATACATCTAAGATTCAACTCTTGGTTAGTGGAAGAACTAAACTATAAACTAAAATCATACCAAGCTGCAAATCATGTTCTAGAAATAACAAAAATAGAAACAAAAAAAGAAAAACATACATTTTTTAATGCAGCTTGACTACATAAATCTTTCTGTTGACTTCAGATTTTTTAAAATAATAAAGACAAAATCCTTACCACTCCTATGCCTTCAAAAGCAAATACAGCTGTACCAAAAAAAAGTGGGTATTTTTTCCAACCAGCCACTACTGGAAGGTTGTGGGGATCTGGCATATTCTGGAGAAACAAACAAAAAAATAAGGCAAGTTACATCTTTACTTATTTTAAAGAATTTTATTTATTTATTTATTTATTTATTTATTTATTTATTTATTTATTTATTTTTTTAGCTGAGCCATCCCGCCACCTGTTGGCAGCTCACGGCTGCTCAGCTCGGGCTGACTCAAACCGCTGTTGCTCAGAGCTCAAACTCTTGAGCGAGCTCTTAACCAACTGAGCCACTCAGCCGGCCCTTATTTTAAAGAATTTTAAATGAAAGAGCAAAATCATATACAATTCTGAGCTTTACAACAGCAAATGTGTTATAAAAGTGAAGAATTCTTTCAACGAACACTTTAAGCATCCTATGTTAAATACAGCCAAGCTGTTAGGATGTCACTGCCAAAAGCAAGTGCTTTCCTCATGCCCACACATTCCATCTGAGCGAAAGGCTCCTCATTACCTGTTTCCACCTGCAAGTCCCAGGCTGTTCACACTGGGTATGGCTCCTGCCACAACAGGAAATACATAAGCATCCTCAAAGTCTGAGCTGAGAGCCATATTATCAGCTATCAACCACTGTGGATGATGTCCAATGAAACTCCTTCTCCACTCTATTTTCATAGCATTCAGTCTCTAAGGTACCTGATTCCTGACTTTGGTTTTCTACCATGTGACTCTGTGCTGCTCCCGAGTACAGGTCTCCCCCTGGTTTCAGTGTTTTACTCTTTGACCGGACAGTTGCCATTACCCTTATTATTTGTGCACATGCCTTGTTTCTGGCTTTGATTACTTGGTCCTAACTCATAGCCTTGTTCCAGCTCTCACTATCTGGCAACTCACAAACTGCACATCTTGTTTAAGATCTCTGGCTCCACAAAGGCCACTTCTTCCAGCTACCCCAAGACTGGTCCCTACTCTCCTTGTCATCCTGTGTTCTCTGCCTTATCTCATTGAAAGTGGAATTCAAGGCCAAGGAGAGAGAATTAATAAAGAAACTGAAGTGTGAAAGCACGCAGATAATCTGGGGAATAAATACTGAGGTCTAGACCATCTGAAGCTTAGGTAGAATTGTATTATTTAATGGTGATACATGACTAAAAACATAAGCCTGGGTCAGAATGAAAAGGGTACTGAAGTGTTTGGATCATTTGATAACACTGAACTGTTATTCAAGACACATGCTGTTCCCTTCATCTAAGGAACCTCCTTTTCTGCTCCCCTAACTCTTACATATTCAGCTTAAGGGATCATGAACTCCAGAAAGTCTTATGAGAGCTTCCTGCTTGTCCCCTTCTGCTCTTACATGCTACAAGAAAGAGTCTACTCGTATAGGTTTTGTAATTCAGAAGGGGGTTAAAATGAAACATAGAGCCATCCTAAGGGAGTCTATAATGCACTGCTAATTGAGATTTTAGAACAATGATTGTGGCAGCAATACATAGGATGGATTGAATCAGGAAAGAAGAGGACCTTTTTTAGAGTCATTGGCCCTTCTGTGAAATGAAAGCTATTCTAAGCTGCTCAGTAGAAAAACACATACATATACACATACAGAAATACTGTATCTTGCAAGTAATTTTAAAGGATTTACAGATCCCCTGAATCCCATGAATAGATACTTTTAAGGAAACTGGGTTAAGACTCTCCAGACTACAGACAATGGAATCAGTTGACATAGTCACATACTTGATAAAAAGGGTGCAGATCAAGACTAAAGTGGACCAAAGTGGTAGCAGTAAATAAAGGTTCAGAAGTGAAAGAAAATTATAAAATAACATCTATACTCCCATCTCTTGTGAATGTTTCACTTCTTACAGGAATAAACAAAACACTAATGAGTTCTTTATTTCATGTTAGGCAGTGTACTTAGGCACGATCCTAAATCTCACAATAACTCTTATACGGTAGCTATGACTACTTTCTGAAGCTATGTCATAACCCAGAAGTGTATTTACCCAGATTCAAAACCAGATCTGACTACAAAGCCTGTGCTTTCAATATGTCATATACTTTTCCAACTACGCAATATCCCCCCAAAAGGAAACCAAAGTTTCCTGATTATCTCCTCATATCACCACATAAGAACAAAGAATTTACTTATTAAGAAACATGTTATACTTACCCTAACAACGTATTGATAAATGATTACAAGACTGACAGCCATGGAAATATTGGCAAGGAATGAGAGCACAAATAGATTCTTTAGCTCACGAATGAAGACCAAGAGAATTATAAAAGGAAGGAAGCAAAGCATATATATCCTTAGGTCGATACTTCTTCTCTCACATGGATTTGATGAATTGGTACTATTTAAAACAAACACTTTACTCTCCAGGAATCCTTCATGAACCTACACAGGTTATCAGGAGAATAAAAAAGAGAAGGGAAATAACACTTCCATCAACTTATAATCAGAAAAGGAAAATATAAAGAAAAGTATGACCTATACACTCAATGATACATTCCTTTAGAATAAATATTTATATATTTTTTCAAGATACTCTAGCTTCCTGGAAATATATATATTTATATATGTATGCATTTACATATATAAAAGTTTAAAATAATTAAAATAGGATAATCTTCTTTGCAAGATAACTTCGTCTATCAGAACGTGAACAGAAAGTTCACTAGAAAATTACGAGGGTAGATTTGCTAACTTATTTTGAGGCTTTGTGACTAACCATGATGCTTCCTGATTCCTACAAAGGCTCAGCCTACTTCTGAGACACTCAGAAGACGAAGCATGCTTGTCTAGAATGGCCATTGGGTATGCTGCTCCAACTTATTTTCGTCCGAGTAGGAAACAGGCTCTAAGTAACTCTTAGAAATTTACAGTAGTCAAAACAAAATTTAGAAATCATAGTCTAACTGTAAAACTGTTTTATAAAGCAATTGTTTATAAATTATCATCACTGTCAATACATATTTGTTAAGAATCCACTAAATTAATGTCTGACCATATGCTAGACAGTAGATAAATTTCTGCTAGAGCAAAAAAACTTCTAAAAGATAAATCAACTTTATCTTAGAATTTATTCAGCCACTTCTATAAATCAATATTCAGTTTTCAAAAGAAATACAATGATTTGCAGGCTCCATATATTAAAAATTATCTTTGATTCAATTAATCACATAACCCAACTTGCTAAAATAGAATCAAAATTATAGAAAACTTTAAAAACAATCTTTAAAGCTCACAGCAGAGGCAGCTCATACTATAATTTAAATCTATTTGCCCCCAAACACTATACCCTCCTTTGAACACAATGGCATTATCAAGTCTCTGGATACATAAATTCTTACAAACCTAACCCTACAGTAACAATGGCAAGCATTTTTGGAGTATTTTCTGTGTGTCAGGTACTGAACGAAATACTTTATAATCAATATTTCATTTAAGCCTCAAAACAATTCTCTGAGGTGGGTGGCAGTATTATTTTCAATTTATAGTTGAGGAAACTGAGGTTTAGGGAAGATAAAGAAAACTAATATAATATCAAGCAGGTAAGTGACGGTTCTAGAATTCAAACCTAGGCTTGAGACTCCAGGATCTAGCTTGCAACAGCTATGTATTAACCTGACCAAAATACTACAACTCTGATGCCTCCCCTCCTGCCCGCCACCCAAGTAGCCATCTGGCCTCCAGTCCCACATCTCTCTAAATATAGTATTAACAGGCCAGCAAGTCAGAAGTTCAGAACAAAATTCTCATATGATTAACAATTCAAGTGTTTCCTTCAATTTTACACTTAAAATCCACAATAAGCAACATTTAGTGTCACTACAAATGTATCCATCATCTTAAACTGCAGGGAGTATATCTATTAATTTCAAGTTATACAGGCAATTTATAGCTCATACTAGACTAACAAACTCTCAGGTTACTCCATGCAACATGTAAGAAATGCACAGCTCAAATTTATCTTGTAATTGGCCATCAAACTTTATATTTTATTTTCTATAATTTGAAATAGAAGCTAAATTGGTTTCATTCACATTCCTTGGCTCTTAAGAACATATTTTACTTATTGACTCAGTTTTCTCAGTAACCAAATTATTTGGAGCCAAATACTTCTGCATCAAAGAATAACCTCCAATAAATAGATTAGGTAATGATCAAAGGTAAGCTCTAAAAAGGATACCCAGCAAGAGAAAAACCACTGCATAACCAATTTTAAAAAGGGCTATTTGAATTGTTAAGTGCTTGGGAATTTGAATTTAATTCTATCACAAAGCTCTCATAATAATTTAGTATTCTTTGGCAGAAAGATGGTTATAAAAATTCTCAGGATTAAAAAATAAAATAAAAATGTAGATACATACCCAGAGCAAGATTCAGGTAAACATTTGAGTCCTTTGGTGCCCTCTAGAGACAGAGATTGGCTATCTAATAGGACTTCCTATGATCTCACATGTTTACCAAAATGCAAAACACTGAAATAAATATTATAAAATAAAATTACAAAATTTAGTTGTTTCCATTTAGAGCTCAAATTTACTAAAAACCACTACTTATTAACTTATCAATGATTCAGTAATTTAATGGTTAAAATTCCAAAGGCAGATTATGTTCTTCAGCAAAGCTAAAAGACAGAGTTAAAGCCATAATACCCTACCTTTGTATGCTGCTTTACATTTTACAAAGGCTTTCACAAACCTTTTGTCAGCTGAGCCTCACAATAAGTTAATGAAGAACATGGGGAGATTTTGTTACTATTCCCATTTTACAAATAAGGAAACTGAGGCTTGACCAAGGATCAGGGGGTCTTGCCCAATGTGTGCGTTAACGAGAGCAGGGACTTGAATGCTGACTCTAAAGTCCATACCAAATCATTGGTATCACTACATTATTTTTTCTTAATGTAACATCCCGTCCCCACTCTTCATGCCCATGTACACTATTTTATCTAAGTATCAGAAATTTTCCAGAGTACCTTAGAGTAGGAACAGAGAGGAGCTACAATCACAATGGCCTAGAATCACTGGAAGAAAAGCCACTGCGTTTTTTTTTCACCCTGCCAATTGTCTATAGTGGCTTACTGGGACCAGGAGCAGTTATAGAGCAGGATGTTCACACATCTGTATAGCAACTGAACCCTTAATTCTTTAATTTGATAAAATATATACCTTCAATTTTATGTAGATGAAGGTGGTAATAATCTTACAGATTTTAACTATAGCAGTAGTAGTAATTGGTAAGGTTTAATCAACCCATGTGTCTACTATTGGAAACTGCTATCAAATGTGAGAGAACACCTCTGCAGAGAGAGTGAAAATCTCTTATGATGCTGTTTCCGTGACCATCTGTTTGCTCTGTGGAGGTAACGTGTTCATCGCTGCTTTCAACTTTTCTCAAGTCTCACTGAATGTCATTTTCCATGCTGCACTTTATGCTTCAAAAGGATCTACAGTAGGCATTCTCTTTACTAACTCCCAGAAGGTCACTTTTTCTACCTGGTCTTCTAGCATGTGTGCAAATGAGTTAAATTCTTCCATTTAACTCTGGAAGCAACTGATAATATATCATAGGAGAAAGTCACCAATCCAAGCTTAAAGACATTTTACACATTTGATATACTCTTTATGTCACACACAGACACGCACACACACACCTAAAATCTGACAATGTCCTGTTCAATGATGAACAATTCCTATGCTGGGTGGGAGCTGTGTCAGAGACCTAGATTTCAGTCAGCCTAATTTATGTGACTTAGGGCACAATGATCATGCTTTGTGAGACTCAGTTTCCTCATTCATAAAATGAGCATAGTACTTATATTACAGAGTAGTTATAAGGGTTAAGTATGTCCTAGCTTATAACTATAAGATTATAAGGCAGTATTAGCATTATTCATTATTCATAAATTCAAATCAAGCTTGTTGGTTGCTCTGTTAGGAGACAATAGAAAAGATACAGTACTACCATGTTGCACAAACCTAGAAAGGCATCGTTTCCATTGTAAGACATTGTATCCTATGTAAATGATTGGTAAGAAGATATGTCTTATCAATTCTTGACAATAAATAGCCTCTTAACTGTGTTAGTAGCCCTAGGAATATGCAGCTTGTGGAATTCAATACTTGCATAATCAAAAGCACATAATCTATGAGTAATGCTAAGGAAAACATCAATTCTCTTCTTTATAAAAGAGAGTTTGACTCATTGAGCCTTTCCACCATTAAAAATCTAAGCTGGTGGCTTTAGCAAACTACAGTCCACAGGCCAAATCTTGCCTATTTTTGCAAATACAATTTTATTGGAATATAGCCATATCTATTTGTTTATATATTGTTGTCTATGGCTGAATTGAGACAGAGACTATATGGTTTGCAACACTGAAAATACTATCTGGCCCTTCACAGAAAAAATTTGCCAATTTTTGGTCTAAATACAAAATGAAGCATACTTTATACCTACAAAAGTGAGTCAAATATATGTATACATATAGGTTCTTTAGAAAACATATTCACATCATAAATTTGCATTAAAATACCTACAAGACTACTACTATATATCACTATGCACAATGCCTACTATCATACCACATACATGTGGATAATTAATGTTATTAATTAAAATCATGATTAAAGAGCTGGGGGTAATGTAGGAATAGTAAAGGGAAAAAGCACATCAAGAAATGTACTTTGGCATTGTTTTGACAGAGGGGCTTTCTTTATTTCAGTGCTTTGCATGTTTGTTCAAATTGACAGTCTCTACCAAGGCTGCAAACCACTTCCTCTTAAAGCAAACCTTTAAATATGGAGAGAATTACAGAACACCGTACATTTCTAGATATAGTATCTTTTTAGACAATGACAATAATTATTGGATTTTAGTAATGCCCACTTTTTTACTTCACTTTTTAGGCTCTGGCTAAAGCCTCATATACGTCTTTATAAAACATCAATGTAAAGAATATACTCCCAAACAGCTGTGTATCTAAATTTCAAGTAGCTAAGAATCAGTAAATTATGTCCTGTTCCGATATGAAAGAACAAGCACTACTGATATAATGATAAGAAAAGTAAAACCAACAATAGCAGAACTCCAACTTTCAAAAAAAGGAAGATTAAAAGAAAATCTACAAAGGAACATGATATATGAAAGGAACACATCTGCATATTCAACCATGGCTTACTCAAAATAAATATGATGCTATAATTATAACATTGAAAGAAAATGATTTCAATAACTAGAGAAAAATACTTACTTGTTTCACATTTTCAGCTAAGAAGACAATATAAACACTACAGAATCCCAGCTGTGTTATCACCAGAAAAAAGTCAACCACACTCCTGGAAAAAGGTACCCACAAATAAGCATCATTAAGAACTGATGAAATGTCAATTATATATTTTTTAAGTACTTTAAAACATTTTATAATATATAATAATATATATCCTTTTCACTTACTTAAAATATTTATTTTCTACAAAAATCATATCTTTATGATCACTAGATGTCACTAGAATTATTATTGAGCAAAAGAATGTCCCATTAAGTTAAAAAACCAACACTTTCCCATCATTTATTTCTGAAATCCAACAGCTTAAGAGTATCTGCTTATAAAATGATTTCACAAAAACATTTCTTCTTTTAGATGAATCACATCTCTCCTATTTCTCAGGATCTTTATCAGGTCAACATGGTATATTGCCCAGTCCTTCCAGCTTCATGTCATTTGCAAATATAATGAGCATATTCTCTACTATCCCAATCACTAGTAAGAATATGGAACTAGAGAGGACTGGGGGCATGCCTTAAATCATACCACCGGACCTCTTCAGTAGCTTAGCTCTGTCATTTTTTTATTGAGATACACTAGAAAATTCCAATTACATAAAATGGTGTATGGGAGTGGGGAAGGGATATCCCCAGTCAAATCAGCATTATTTGGGTATGGCAGTCAAATCACAAGTTTGCCTACATGTTTTTAATATACAGCCCATACTCCTAAAGTTTGTTCTGGGAACAATGAGTAAGAACAACAGCATGCACTTACTAATTCATTATAGTCTCGTTTGACCATCAAGGTCAAGCTGTCAAATAATCTTGGTCTATAGATCTACAGACCCTCCTTCTGCCATGTGAAACTAGAAGAGCCCTTGCCTATTTTTATTTTTGCCATAACTCCAGAGCTCTCCATGCTTTTTTGGGGATCTCATATGTAAGTAATCTTGGTACCCAGAAATAAACTCAAGTTTCTTCTCTCTGATGAATTGCATTTAAGTATACCCTTAAGATCTCTTAATCTAACTTTGATTTTAGTATCCCACAAACAATCATTCCAGCCACTTCTATATGAAAGCCAGTCTTCTTGATAGAAAAAACAGACAAGGCTGCCTCTAGACTAGTGCAGAATAAGGAAGAAGATACAGTTCTGGGGGGCAAATCTCTAGGGCATTAGGCTGTGTTTTCTTCCTTTCCCTACTCAGCATGTCAGGAACTCTGAGCAGCACATACACAAATCTAAATTCCTGAAAATCCCCAGAAAGGCCATAGTTAACCATAAAACTATCCCATTAACACTGTTCTTTTTCTCTAATTTCCACTGAACATGGAAATGAGTATTGTACCATACTCATCAGCATTTTGTTAACTACCTATGCTTATTTTTCCAGTCCTGTCTTCATCTGACTTTGGTTAGCCATGTCCACCAAGGATGGTTACATTTAAACAATAAGATAATAAAATAAGAATATGCTAAAATATATACTTCAGGTGTCTTATGATCATGTAGCTAAAACAGCATGATTTTATTTGAAATGAGATTGCAACATTTTTCTTGCTTTTTTTCCTTCACTTAAAAAATTGGGCGGCCGGATGGCTCAGTTGGTTAGAATGCGGGCTCTTAATAACAAGGTTGCCGGTTTGACTCCCACATGGGATGGAGGGCTGCGTCCCCCGCAACTAGACTGAAAAACGGCGACTGGACTTGGAGCTGAGCTGTGCCCTCCACAACTATGATTAAAGGACAACAGCTTGACTTGGAGCTAATGGGTCCTGGAAAAAACACATTGTTCCCCAAAAAAACACACTGTTCCCCAATAAAGTTTAAAAAAAAATTACTGAACATGATTATAGGTTGCCCAGGTGCTTTGCAAAAAAAAAAAAAAAATTGACCAGGTCACAAAACTGAAAAATGGTGGAGTTGAGATCTGAACTCCACTGTCTGTCTAACTCTAAAGATTACGTTTATTTCTCCAAATTTATCATACTTCTATTGATGTATCTTTCAGATTAAAATACTTGATAATTAATATAATTTCAACAACCAGATATTAATAACATAGCAAGTTCTTACCGTCCCCATGCTGCTTGCCTCTGAAGACAACTCCAAGGACTTACTTCCATAGCAAAACTCACAGTGTCACTATAACCTAATGTTGATTTTTTAAACCTGTAATTCAATGACATACTTGTAAATGAAAAAAAATTCAAGTTCGTCCATAAATCCTTTTCTTGAAAAGACCATCAAATGAATGCAAATTAATGAATACAGGGCTATGCTCCGATAGAGGACTTTTTGAAATTTAAAAATCTGCATACTCCCTAAAGTACGTCTCATGAAATTTAAAAATTTTGTATCTGTCCTTATTACCAATATATTAGTTGTTATCTAGTGCTAAAGTTAACATATTTGTAGAATTCGTGTAACATTTGTGCTTCACTGATTTTAATATTTCAATTACCTAAAAGTGTCAATTACATTGTTCATGCCTCTATTATTCCATTCTTAGAACAGCATTATTTAATAGATCTATACAGGGCTTTACAATATATTTTCACATAAACTATATTATTTGATCCTTAAAATAGCCCCATGAGGTAGGTATTATTTCCCCATGTCCTCTCTCCCATTTTTTTTTCAAGTATACATTGTTAAAGTTCACAAATGACTTGCCCAGTTTTAAGAACATTTAACAACAACAGAGTTAAGATGAGAATACTAATAATTTACTAGAACTGGCAGTATTTATTTTTTTAAAAGTTGGTCCATTATCCAGCAGAAGCATTTCATGATACAAATATAAAAAAAAAGAATATTATTTTATTGACTATCTATCAAGCCATATATCAGCAAAGAGCACCAAAGTCATTATACCACAAAATTAATTACTAATAATTTGAAGATCATTACATTGTAATTAAAAGCAGTACTGCTACCTCCATTTCCCCATATATCTTTCCTGATTTTTTTCATTTACACTAAATAAAAGAAACCATTGTATTTCATGAATAAGGCTATATTTCAAGAGAAGTAAATATATTCTGACTAGATTCCACGAATAAGGGTATATTTTAAAGAAACTAAATATATTCTGACCAGATTTGAATCATGTGAAATGCTACCTTTTTCCATATTCATTACCTTAGACTTATTTATATAACAGAATATAGAAAATATAACTGCTAGAAATATGACTAACTGATGCTTTAAATAACTACATAGCTTTAAAATAAATGAAATAGACTTAATGAATCCACATTTACCTCTGACATAGAAAGTGACTGCAACGTACCAAAATGTGCATACAATGAACAGAAATAATTCCTATAAACACAAGGCTGATTGGTCCAAGCTGTAGGGGGAATAATTATAAAGTTTAAATGTTAAAGGTTAACAAAAATTAAGTTGCCTTATAAGCAATGAAACAACAGACTACTCATTTGCAGTGAATAAACATTTGCTGCACAAAATAATTAAATAGTCATTTGCATAAGGGAAAGCTAATAAACTTGATACAGAAAGAATTTCAGTAATACTTAAGACAACCACATATGATTCCATCTTATCACCTTGGCTATCTAAACCTGTGAATATAGAGTATAGATATGCAACAAAGCAGGATAGAATACAACATCATATTTAACATGAGATGGCAGTCTACCACTATCAGTGTCCCACCAAAATAATGATATGCAACTATGAATCATTATCTAAATGACTAAAAAAGTACTATATCAATATGGATTTGTGGGCAATCCACTTCTATAGATTGGTTGTTGAGCACTTACTATGTGTGAGGAGGAACTGTACCTAGAAAATAACTATTTAAAGGAGTGATACATAAAAAATTTTCAAGTATTTATTACTAAAATTAATGTGATGTCTGGATTATTTTGACAAAGACAAAGTATTGCCAAAGTTTATTTTTATAAGAACATTTTAAGTTTCTCTAAATTAGGGTGAACAAAGTCAAATGCAGAGAAAGATGATAGGTAAAGCTTTTTAGAAAATTGGCCAATTAGAAAAGGTTAAATATAATTTCATTACTTCATAAGTGAATTCTCCCTATCAAGATTCTCTGTAACTGCAGTAGTTTTAGCAATACTTTAAATATCTGTTTTCAAAAGATAGATTGTTATTCCTTTTCCTAACTATTGTTCTTTAAATCTGAAAACTATTAATACATATTTTATTCTGGATCTAAAAAGCTATAAAATTTCACCAATAAAAATGACCTGCTCTACAAATATGTTTGTTGATATGAGTACACTGCCTAAATGCCTGAAAATCCAAAAGAATAATAAGATATAACCATACCTGGAAAACCCAATACTGTTTTAGGATCTTTCTGTCAAATAATATGAATTAATAACTAAGTAGAAATGAAAACAGTAATTCTCATTTTTGTTGGATATTATCATAGTTCATATAACTTTATCAATATAATGGCTAAATTACTGTTTAATTGTCACCTGACCATGTTTTATTTGACTAGGCCAGATGTTAACTTGTGGAAATTTGTGCTGTAAATTAAGACTGATAATTGTATTTTAACCAGAGATTACAATGATAAGTCTTACCACTATGCCTGCATTTTTTATTGCCAGTGGAAGTCCTAAAAGGCCAGTTCCAATGTTTCCTTTAAGAAGATGCATAAGAGTTTGTACAAATCTGAAAAGTAAACGTTGTAAGATTTAAACACTTTAGAACAAAAGCTATGACCATGGTTTTAGCATTAGAAGAGAACTGAAAATTAATCTAGGCAAGGAATCAAATAACAGTTCCATTCAACCAGAAGTTAAATAGGCCAGAAGTCATATTTAGTTAAAGTCCCATCTTTGCCACTTAAAAGTGGAATACACAGGGTTATTATGGAGATTAAATGAGGTACTTAAGTAAAAGTATTTTTGTACATCTTAAAGTATAAAAAAAGGTAATTTTCTCACAAGATTTTTTGCTGCTATAATATTCAGAACATGGCTGAAGATTATGGCTAGGCTGATAAGACAGGAAAATTTATTGACACTGCATGTAATCATGGTACTAAAAATATTTGATCTGTGATTTATGATCAACCTAAGAGGAAGTTAATTAAAAGAAAAAAATACACATTTTAAAACTATGTGTATTATCAGGCAATATTAATTAACTTCTGAAGATCATGAACTCCCTAAGGGATTTCACCTGTTTCCAAGAGACATTTGAAGGAGGTCTCTTGACAAAGAAGAAATAAATGAAAGGAGAAAGAACAGCACACATTTTAAACTTATGAAACAAAAATGCTTGCTTAAAATTTTTTTTCAGTTTATGCTATTCTTTTATGATCAATTAAAATTTGATTTTGCTTAAGCATTAAATTACTATTAGAATAAGAACTTATTTAAATCTGTTAATGATGACAAAATAAAAAAGGTTTAAAGAAGTTCCACTGCTTTCCTAGCATCATGACTTTGTTCCTTACCATTCATTCACTCAGCATAAAGGATTTGCTACCTAACTCCCACAGTCGAACTTCTAACCGTTTCAGAAGCCACTTCTTTCAAAATTTCTATTCCTGTCTATCAGATCTCCCTTCAAGAATCACAGCATTTGATAGATATCATCGCTGTAGTAATTCCTATACACTGCTCTGTAATTTAGATGCATTTCTTCTTTCTCAAATAGACTATAAACACCGTGAGGGTGGGGACTATGTTTTATTCATCTTTGTGCCTTCTGTAGTATCTAGTAAAGTGCCTTGCCAATAAAAGATGATTACAAAGTAGTATATACTGAATAAAAGGAGACATATAAACTGTGACACTTACGAAATACCCTCTTGATCAAGTTGGTAATGCTTCTGAACAGGCAGAAGTTCCTGCTCATGTTCTTCATCTGATGTCCCATCAAAATTCTGCTCATTTATTAAGGGCCTCATCACATCCATATCTTTAAAAGGAAAAACATAGTATTTCACTATCATTTTAAAAATCGGGTTAAAGCTGGTATAGGTGAATTTTTTTAAGTAGGACATACCACTTGTAGTCTATCTTTACTACTTCCCCCCTAAATTAATTCACATTACTTACTACCCTAAGTATTAGTATATATTTAAAAATAAACAACTAGGGCCAGCTGAGTGGCGCAATGGTTAAGAACTGGCTTGGGACGCCAGAGGGCCCCGGTTCAGATCCCACATATGAGGGCCAGTGACACTGCCCTCCACAGCTAAGATGCTGAACAACGGCTCAACCTGGCCTGAGTCGCCGGCGACGGCGTAGGCTGCAGCCCCTGTGGCAGTGGGTTGCCATGGGCTACCGTATGTAGCCAGCAGCCAGCAGCCAGCGTGAGCGGCCAGCAGCCGCAGGGAGCAGCCATCCAGAAGCTGGCGACTGATCTGCCTCGCCTGGGAAGAGCGCAATGATGGTGCCAACTTGGGCCAGTGAAGCAACGTCCTCCCAACTAGACTGAAGAACAAAATGACAGCAACTTGTCTGTTGCCCTTCCCCCAAATCCCCAGCACTGTTCCCATCCCCCCAATTCCCCAATAAAAAAATAAATAAATAAAATAAAAAATAAATAAACAACTAGACTTATTTTCTGGATATTTTGTTTGGCCTAAACAATGTAAAGTGAAAAGCATAAGTATTCAATGCAAACATTTCTGCTTTGCCTACATGAGTTTACAGTACATTTTCATAAAATTATGGGATGAGAAATATGAATAATCAAATGAATTTTCATCTCATTAGCTTCAAATCATACTATATACATATTTTTAAATACCTCAGGAAAATTATAAAACCATTCTAATTTTTAAATTTTTAGTATCAAAATCTACTCTAATATCTAGAAATTTTTAGCATGATTTTTCTTTCAGGGAGAAACACACCAGTCATCATCGTCTCTCTTGTTATAGTGAAATTCATTAAATTCAAATTTATTGAGATGACTGATATGCATTAGGTAAAGTCTGAAGTACAAGAATATTTTTTGAATATTCACATTACAGTTATCAAATTCAGATAATTTAATATTGATGCAATACTTTTATTTCATCTACATTCCATATTCCAATTTCATCAGTTGTTCCAACACAGTTCTCTAAGCAATCATTTTTTTTCAGCACAGCAATGTACTGCATTTAGCTGAATTATTCTACTGGTTACCCTTGCTATTATATCTTTTATGATGCCCTTAATCTTTTTCTTAATATTTTACTCTCTTCTTTGTCAGTTTTAAATGGTATCCATGAACCACCCATCACCGATACAATTAATGGTCTTATTCCACTTTTGCCTTTTCTCTGTCTCTTTTTCCCTCATTTTTTTTTAGTTGTATTCTTTCTACTTTGGCAATATATATGATGCTTTACATGCTGTTATTTCAATCATGTCCCCACCCATGTCTTAGACTTATCTGTACAATCATTATATTAAATGCTGGCTATGGGTCCTCTGCCATAGTTTCCTCAATCATCCCTAGGCTGGAAAGTTCATTCTCTTACAGAATGTGCATGGGAATGACCTGTAGGACTTGCTAAAGCACAGATTGATGTACTCCACCCCAAAGCTTCTGATTCAGCAGGTCTGGGGTGGGCCTGAGAAAATACACATTTCTAACAAGTTCCCGGGTGATTCTGATGTTGCTGGTCTGCGGACCACACTTTGAGAAACACTGCTCTAGTCAATTCCTCAGGAAGGGCTCATGGGCACAGTATTCTCTGAGAGTTTTTGTATGTTTTAATCCATTTTTCTATAACCTTGATATGAAGAACAACTAGATATATCATCCTTGGCTCACACTTCCTATTCTTGAGTTTCTTGAAAATGAATGCTTCTGCACTCTTGTCTTACTTTGTATGCTACTCTCGAGCAGTCTGATGCCAGACTGATTTTCTCAGCCATTGTAATTTGTTCTTTTTGCTCGAGGTCCTGGAGATTGTCGCTCTGTCTTTAAAGTCTAATGGTTTTATTATGATATGTTTTAGGGTTGAGTGCTCTGTGTTAATTTTCCCAGAGACACAGTGGGCCTTTTTGATGTGTAGATTTAGATTTTCTGTTATTTATGGAAATTTTTCTTGGATTATAGCTTTAAGTAGCTGAAGCAAATAATTCAAATATTTTTTCTCCTTTAGAGATTCCAATTACATGTTGAATCTTCTTTGCCTGTCTTCCATTTAAAACAGTTTCTCTCTGACCCTTTTGATGTTTTTTTTTTTACCTCATTTAAATTCTTCTTTGAAATTCAACGACTCTATTAAATTTTCATTTGAAGATATTCTCTCTTGGACACCTGTATTTATGATTTTTCCTATTGCTAGGCATTTCATGGATAGTGATCCTAGTTTGAGAGAATTCCCCTCCATCAGCTTCAGTTTATTTAATGGATGATGTTGAGTTATTAGGGGCTATATGGAGTAAATGGCATGTCTTCTGGCTCCCTTTCATTTCTGCAGGGTCTTCAATCCCTCCCCCCATTACTTTCTTCTTAACACTTCCAGGTATCTGCTCTTTTTATCTCCTCCTCCAGAAGCAATGTTTTGCCAAGGCTACCCCCTCTGTTCTTGCTAATGTTCAGATTCTTTCCCTGTTTCCCTGTACTCAGTGCTCTGAATTACAACTTCCAGACCTGACCTCTGTTTAGACATTGGATTGTAAAGGTGCATTTTGCGTGTCTGCACTCTCTACTAAGTGACAGGAATGATGTCTGACTTGTCTACTAGTGTATCCTCAGTATTTGAAACATGGTAGATGCTCAACAAATGAATAAATGCATAAAAGAAAAAGCAGCATGTTAAGGAGAAAATATGAGTTCAACTTTTAAATCATGTAATTTGAGATTATACTGAATGAGCAGTTAGAAAAAGGGTCTAGAGCGAAAGAAAGAATTCTGAGCTAAAGATAAAGATTTGAGAATTACATCAGAATGTTGGTGACAAATAACTAGGGCCAAAAGGCAAGATGAGGTTGTTCAGAGATTGTATGGAGAACAACAGAGCTGAAGACAGAACACTAGGGATCCAGTAATATTTTAAATTCAAGAAAAAAGCTGGCAAACATAACTGAAAAGAAATGATCAAAGCCACCATTGAGTTTGGTACAACAGACATCTGAAATTGTAAGCAGAAGGTTAAAGTTTTCAAATCAGTATTGCCAAGAACCACAATCCGTTTCCTGTGAGCAGCTTGGAGCTCATGCTCAAGGAAGGCAGCGCCCATCAGCACCACCATGTCCTTCCCTTGGGTATTTCCCAGTCATGTCACTGCTGCCTCTCTGACCTCATCTCCTACTACTCTTCCCCTTGGTCAGTCCTCTGAGTGCTCACTCCCTGTCAGAGAGACATGGGGTTAAAGAACTAGTGTTCATCTTCTCTCCTGGAACCTCTCCATTGTAGAAAACCAGAAAGATATGTATATGGAAGTGGTTGGCAGGACGTTATTGACTGAATGTTTCTGTCTCCCCCAAATTCATACATTGAAATGCTGCACCCTAATGTGACAGTATTAGGAGGTGAGGCCTTTGTGAGGTAATTAGGTTAAGATAAAGTCATGAAGGTGGAGCCCAATGATACAATGATAGGATTAGTGTTCTTACAAGAAAAGGAAGAGTATAGAGCTCTATCCATCACATGAGGACACAGCAAGAAGATAGCCATGTGTAAACCAGGGAGAAGGCTCTCACCAGGAATTGAATCAGCTGGCATTTGATCTTGGACTTCCCCACCTTCAGTACTGTGAGGAATAAATGTTTGCTGTTTAAGCCACTCAATTTATAGTAGCTTGTTAAAGAGCCGGAGATGAATAAGACACAGGAGTTGCTTTTCCTGGCACACCAGATTCTGATGCCTTACCTTCTGATTTGCTAGTGAGGAGGGTGTCAAGGATTAAGGTGGCTTTTCCGCACATCAGCTTTGCAGGCAGAGCACACTACAGGAGCTGGTACAGAGGCATAAGTCCTCCCGGTACAAACTGAACTGGTTTCTGGCCCTTCTCAAGGGCCTCTATTAAAGGACTGTCATCACCTCTCACCAATATCTACTGACAATAGCCCCACCTCACAGAAGGGCTATGCCTCCTGATTGAATATGTTCAATAAAAGAGGTTGCCATCATTTTCAATTCAGTCTCACAAGTATTAATGGAGGCCCAATATGTGTCCGGTGCTATTAGATGTTGGGAATAAAGCAATTACTGAAACTAACAAAAATTACTGTCCTCATGGAGCTTAAATTCTAGCAGGGAAGAGAGACAACAAAAGAGGTAAGTAAAATAGAGAGTGTGTTAGTGTTAAGTTCTAAGAAAAAAATACAGAATGGGAGGGATAGCCTGTAATTTTAGATAGGATGGCCAAAGTAGGCCTCAACTGAGAAAGTGGATTTTAAAGGCCTGAAAGAGGGGTAAGAGCGAACAATGTGGCTATCTTCGGAAGAGCAATCAGGCAGAGGGAACGGCAAAGGCAAAGGTTCTGAGGATGCAGCGAGCCTGGTGGTTTTAAGTAGGAAGGAGGCCAGAGTGGCTAGAGAGGAGTGAGCAAGGGGAGGGCAGTAGGAGAGGAGATCAGAGTAACAGAGGACAGATGGCATACAGCTTTGTGGACTATTCCTTGGGACATTAAAGCCACTAGAGCAGTGATGACTGATAGAAATATACCGTGAGCCACAAAGGTTAATTTAAAATTTTCTTGTAACCACACTTTTTTTAAGATAGAAAAAAAGCAACTTGTGGAGTTAATATTTTATGTAACCCAATATATCTAAAATATTATCATTTCAACATGTAATCAACATCAAAGATTATTAAGATATTGTATTTTACATTCTATATTTCATACTCAGTCTTGGAAATCCAATGTCTATTTTACACTTACAGCATATTTTAATTTGGACAAACCACATTTCAAATGCACATATGGGTAAAGTCTACCATACTAGGCAGCATAGCAGCAGAGAGTTTTGTGCAGAGGCATGACATGATCTGATTTATATTTTAACCAGGATTCCTCTGGGCCTATCTCTTCATGTGTAAAATGAGAGTAATAACTTCTGCCTCACAATGGTTTTGTGATAATGAAATGAGATAATGTATATAAAGAATAGAGCCTAGCCTTTGGCACAAAGTAATCAATAACTACTAGTGTTCTTCCCCTTCCTATATAATGATACATTAGAAGTAAATTATGTTGCATAGGATTTTTACATGTAAATCTTTGACAAGAAATTAATTTACTACTAATAATGAATAATTCTGAGCATTTATGAGCTACAAACTGTGCTATAACACTAAGTATGCAAAGACAAGCAAAATATGTTATGCCATCCAGAAGGAAATAGAGACTAGTGGAAGAGAAAAATGCTTAAAAACCTAACATGATTAAAGCTTTAAAGTGTAAAATATATGAAATAAAATCAGAACACTCACATAAAGTAATTAAAAATCACAAAATCCAATTTCCATTACACCAAAGTCTATTATTTGACATGTCTTGCTGTAATTTTTGACCGAGCATTGAATTGGGAAGTTCTGAAAAATGCTATGTGATTACTAAAGGTAAGAATTAACAATACTTTGTAAAACACTATTAAGCAATGGATATCAAACTACCTACACCTAATTTTTTCTATTTACAAATGGAAAAATCATAGATGAATAAACAATAGCTTCAGTCAATATTATACACCATAATTATACACCATATGTATACATTAATGGTGCATACAACTGGAACATTCTTAAATTAGGCAGTGCTTCTATGTTGTTTTATATTGCCCAATTATTTCAACCTCAATTTCCTAACCTACAATCAACCTAAATTTCCAGTTTTAGTCAGAAGAAAAATCACATTAATTTAGCAATATGTATTGAAATCTTGAAAATGTTTATCTTTTTCACCTAGTAATTCCACTTCTGACAAGCTACTATATAGAGAAAAGGATTTCTTCACAAAGACATTAATTGAAACATTATTTATGTTGAAAACTTGGAAACAACCTAAATGTGCAACAATTAGGAAATTGCTAAATTAACGGCAGCACATCTACTTTATAAAGTATTACATTAACATTAAAACATGGTTTTGAAGTCTCAGTAGAACGGAAAATAGTGTGTCCTATGCTAAAAAAAGTCTGGATAATCACAGTATGAGTGCAATGATGTTTTACAGTTAAATAAAAATGAAAGAAAGAAAATATATCAAAATGTTAATAAGTTAACAAGGATATAGATGGACAATGGGATCCTGAGTACCTTTTTCTGGAAAATGTGAAAAATAAGAAAGTAATAAACTTACATGGCTTTTATAATAATAAAATAAAGGAAATCATTTACTCATATTTTGGCAATGGACAAACTAAAAGGAAAGTAAAACTAGTTTCTTCTTTTAAAATAACATGATATTGCCACCAAACTCTATAAACTACTATCTATATAAGATTTTCTGAGGTGGAGAAAATATTCACAGCAAGAAACCTTCCAGAAGTCCCCAAAGCCTGTGAAATGAAATGCAGGCCTTAAGCTATTTATAAAGCGTAAGGAAACCCGTGTCTTAACATTGCTACCCGTGCTTTCCAAATAGACACACAACTTTTTAAATTCTCTTTAAAATGAAATATTTGGTCATTGTAGAAAATCAGGAAATATATAGAAAAGCAAAATTTTTAAAATGAAAATTGCTTCATCCCACAGAAATTACCACTGGTAACATTTTATAATATAAACACATACTCCTGTATGTTCTCCTTTAGTCCCATGGCGTTAAATGCTATCTATATGCTGATGACTTCTGAATTTATATCTCCAGACGAGACCTCTCACTAACTTTAGATATAATCCAATTTTCTACTCAACATCTGCACTTTCATATCTAACACACATATATATATAAGCTCCATGAGAGCAGGAAGCTTGATCTGTTTTGATCACCGATGTGTCCTATGTGCCTAAAACAGTGCCTGGCACATAAGTGCAGCTCAATAAATGTGTGTTGAATTAATGAATGAACATAACTTTTAAAAAATTAAAATAATCTAGAAACTTTTTCAGTTAATAAAAATGTATGTAGTGAATACCTTCCCATATTACTTTTAATGGCTAGTCAGTAGATGCCTATATGGCCATATCACAATTTACCTAAAGAATTTTCTTTAGCTAGACATTTAGATAGTTACCAGCTTTTCTCTATTATAAATAAGGTAATGACCACCTCTTGATATAAGCGTTTGTTACATGACTTGTTTTCTTGAGATCTATTTCTAGAAGTAGAATTACTGGGCCAAAGGAGATGTGCATTTTTAAGGATAAATACATATTATATTGCTCTTACCAGCAATGCATGAGAATGCACATTTCCCCACATCCTCAATAGGTGGGTTATTAATGAATTTAAAACAGTCCGATAAACCTGAGTTCATATCTGGGCTCTGACATTAATGAGCTTAAATTACTGTATCTATAAAAGAGGGATAAAAATAGCATCTACCTCACCCCACTGTTGTGAGGATTAAAGGAGACAATGCACATGTAAAGCACTTACTTGGCATACTATGTGACCCACAGTAAACATTCAATAAAATGCTGAGTTTATGTGTACCATTATTATGACTTGAAAGAGACCAAACTGAAGTGCCCTGCACATTAATACAGGAATACCAACCAATTAGTTACCATAATAAATTATTTCTTTATAGCTTGGGGTGGCTGGTTAGCTCTGTTGGATAGAATGTAGGCTCATAATACCAAGGTTGCCGGTTCAATCCCCACATGGGCCAGGGAGCTGCGCCCCTCACAACTAGGTTGAAAACAACTACTTGACTTGGAGCTGACAGGTCCTGGAAAAACACAGTGTTCCCCAATAAAATTTCAAAAAAAAAAAATTAAAGTTCAACTTCTTTTTTAATCTTTTAGCATCAAATTTAAAATATTCCTAAAATATAATGCATATAACTGGGGGGAACAATAACATTACTACGCTGATCCTTACTTTTGTTTTCCTTTTGACAACGGGGGAAACCATAAAGAATGTTGAGATTCCCTGGCTTGCCTTTGATATACACATGCAGAGCACCACACCCCCAACACACACTGAGAAAGGAAAGGGTGTCTTTAAGCTGCTGCTCCAACTGGATCAGTCAGTCACCCAGGGAACACAGCAAATGCCTAACCAAGGCCTTCCATAGAGCTAGCCACGTATACTTTCAAACAGTTCCAATTAAAACGATAAATGATTACAGAAGGTAGTGCCTGTTCTTTCTACATCCTGATAAAAATGTAAACTGATCACTGCGTCCAGGCCCCTTCCCACAATTCCAGACTCCAGGTGCCCGACATCCCTATGTTACCTGTATATTTCCCCCACCTGATGTAAAACTGTTACTCCTTGAATGTACGTAACTAGCTAAAACTGCTGATGCACAACTACATTCTTCTTTGTCCTCCTACCTATGTAAACATCCCCGCATTGGCCTAAAGTTAGAGCCCCATGTCAATGCTTCTTGGAACTCTCAGGCACTATCCTCAGATGGGCCCAAATAAAAATCTCTTCTCTTAAATCCCCAAAGGTTCATGTCCTCTCTGCCTTGAGCGCGCGCGCGCGCGCACACACACACGCCTATTTTGACACTCTTTGTAGACGCTGATATTCGAGGTCAGTCACCTCCCAAGTCTCAGCTCATCCCAAATGTCCCAGGGAAGGAGGTATGCTTTACTGGGTTTTAAATTCAAACTTGTGCCAGACCCACACTATTAAAAGCCTTGACAAATAAAAAAAATAAATAAAAATAAAAAACAAGAAATAAAAACAAAAAACAATAACAAGAAAAACACCCGACGTCTCTCCCTGTCTAGAGACAAGAAACTTGAACTCGGATTAGGCCGGACCACCCGCGTGGGGCGGGGTCGGCCGCGGTCCCGGCGCCCGCACTCGCCTCCGGGGCCAAGGCCAAGCGCAGGCCGGGGAGCCTCGGGGACTCCCACGGACGCACAGCCCCGCGCCACGTCGGCCCGCGCCCCTTCCCGCACACAGCGCCCACCTAGCTCCTCGCGTCCCGCCGCCTCGGCCGCCGCCGGCGCCGCCGCTTCCATCTCTCGGGGGTCTCCAGGACGCCGCCGCCCCGCTGAGCGCTCTCCCGCCGCTGCGTGGCCCGCGTCAGACTGAAGCCGCCCCAGCCGAGCCGCCCAGCGCCGGCGCCCGCCTACGGCCCGGACACACCCCCCCGCCCCGCGCGACGAGGAGCATGCGCACTGGGGCGGCCCGGCCCAGCCGAGGCGCGGAGGTGCGAGCTGCCCTGCTGGGGCTGGGAGGGCGCTGTCCGTGAAAGGCGCTAGGGGTAGCCGACCCGGGGGAGGAGAAGCCAGGCTGGAGAAGAGGCAGGATAACCGGAGAGAAGGAGCGCCTTGGAGGTCCCTGGGAATGGGAGCTCAGAGCAGGCGGAGACCCAGGCCTATAGCTCCCTGGGGGGGGGGGGGGGGGGGGGGAGGGTGTTTAAATTAAAGATGACACCTAACTTAAATTTGAGGAGCTCATCTTTAGCATTCTGTAATATAAGGCACCTTGGAGAATGAAAAACAGGAAGGGATTTGCCTCTATATTGAAGTTCTGACTAATCCTAGGTTATCCGTCTCTCTATGGCCCTATTTAGAGACATAGGATGCACTTAGGTAGAATTTCATTTTAGTCAGTTTCACTTTAAGGGTTTTTTTCAATGCCCTTCAAAGATATTTGACGTCAACCGCAGTGCTGAAAGGAAATAAAAGTTAAGAGTAATTACACTGATGTGGTGTCAGATATTAAGCACTATACATGCACTGTCTTATTTAATTCTGATGACAAACCTGTGAGATAATTCTGATGTTTATATCCATTTTATAGGTGAGGGAATTAAGGCACACAGAGCTAAATAACTTGTCCAAGGATAATAAACTATTAAAAGGCAACGATGGATTCTATCTGCAACCAGAGCTGAGGCTCTCAGGTGGGTGCCAATAGACATTTGATGAAGCAAGCTTTTGGATTGAAAGGAAAATTATTTTAATTTTAAAATTCCTTTCATGTTTTCATTTCATAGTTTTTTAAAGTCAGGACACCAGGCAACATTTTTTCTTTTTGTTGGTTCCATTTCAGTGGGTTCTTCATAGGAAAGTTGTGGGGGTTTTTGGGGAGCCGGGGGTGTCTAATTTCTAGGATCACTGATGTAACTACATGGTAATGGTGTTAAATATTTAAAATTCCAAAATTAAAAAGGTACACAGTTACATAATATCTATATCCTCCCTCCTGTTGCACCCTTTGTAAACTTCATTAGTGGTAATGATAGTTTGCCAAAACACTTCGTTTTCCTTTAGATCAACCCCAATCACCACACACACACACACACACACACACACACACACACGCACACGCACATGCAAACATTATTTAAAATGTTCCTGACATGTAAGAATGCTGTAGGGGAAATAGAGAAAAAATAACTCTATCCTGGATTATAACTAGAGGAATATTCCCTTAGGGTGGAGCGCCTGGTTAGAGATCAGTGGGAGAGAAGATAAGCATCAGACAGGTAATTCTCCATAAAACCACTCATTGTAATGAGAACATTTGGAACAGTGTTCCTCTTGAAAGAGGAGCATTATACTTCAGGTGTTAAAAGGGATCAAAAGTCATTGTCCTCCAATCTCAGCATTAGGCAAAGCAGATCTGGCAGCCTAGAAGGAAAAAAGGCCTGACCTGTAATGGAGGCCTGGGATTGTTTAGACAAGCCTGGGCTGAGGCAGGCAGCCAGGCGGTGTCTTCACAGAATGAGGTGGAGATAAGCCAAGTGATAGGGATGATCATAAGATTCAAGAGAATTATGGTTTTCATATATCACTGCTTGAGAAGATATTTGCTATGACTTCTGCTCCAGGTCTTATAAATTGGAGGGGGTATAGAGAAAAGCTGTATCAGAATAGAGATATAAACAATCTGACCATTTGAACCCTCGTAATTTCTTTCCTTTCCTCACTTTAACTTCCTAGATTATATCTTCATTACTCCCTTCTTTGTAACCATTGCACTTGGTTCATATCTGTGTTATAACACGTCTCCCCTTGTATTACAATTATTTCCTTCTTTGGGTCTTATGCTATATGGTGAGTCCCTGCAGGAAAGAAGCTATATCTTTGTCTTAACAGAATCTGGTAGAATGTCCTGCATGAACTGTTACTTAATAAATAGGTGTTCATGTTTTTTTATTATTGTTGCCCTGTAGGTGATGAACACACAATGTGATATATAGATGATGTATTACAGAATTGTACACCTGAAATCTATGTAACTTTAGTAACAGTTGTCAGTCCAATAAACTTTTATTAAAATAAACAAATAAATAGATGTTCAAATTGTTACATATAACTTTATAGATACATGAAAGGAAATGTTGACCCTTGAACAATGTGGTGGTTAGGGGCACAGACCCATTTCCATACAGTCGAAAATCCACGTATAACTTTTGACTGCTTGGAAACTGAACTATTAATAGCCTACTGTTGACCAGAATTCTTACCAATAATATAACCAGTTGGTTAACATATATGTTGTATGTTATATGTATTATATACTGTATCCTTACAATAAAGTAAGCTATAGAAAAGAAAATGTTATTAAGAAAATCATAGGAAGAGAAAATAAATTTATAGCACTGTACTGTATTTATCGATATGGTAAGTTTACATCATCTGTTTACAAGAAGAATTTTGTCTGTCAGTATCTACATCAATATTCTTATATAAACACTGTAGATGTTATACATATTATTAACACTAGACATCAAATCTGAAAAGATAATGTGAAAAAGAAATTCATATTTATTTGCAGGTATAATAATTCATGCATTGATAATGAAAAAGCAGCAATATGATTGCTTTCTGGTAGCCTAGTGTAATTGATACAACTGATTCATAGTAATAGTAACCTAGCCTATACACTAATGAATGAATCATAAAATTTTTATGGCATACAGTATTGCAGTCATAATCATAATACAGTATTGGAAACATTGTTACATTTTTAAAAAACACTTACCGGGCCGGCCGAGTGGCGTGATGATTAAGAGCTGGCTTGGGATGCCAGAGGGCCCTGGTTCAGATCCCACATATGAGGGTCAGTGACACTGCCCTCTACAGCTAAGATGCTGAACAACAGCTCTTCCTGGAGCTGGGCTACTGCGTGTAGCCAGCAGCCAGCGTGAGCGGCCAACAGCCACAGTGTGCAGCCGTCCAGAAGCTGGCGACTGATCTGCCTCGCCCGGGAAGAGCGCAGTGATGGTGCCAACTTGGGCCAGTGAAGCAACGTCCTCCACAACTAGACTAAAGAACAAAAAGACCAGCAACTTGTCTGTTCCCCTTCCCCCAATTCCCCAATAAAAATCTTTAAAACAAAACAAAACACTTACCTGTGATGATAGGCTGATACATAGTTTCTCCAATTACTAGAGAGAGAGAGGCATACTGTACAGTAATGTAATTCTTTGAAAGCAAAGTTATAAAACAGTAAGAAAATTAACACATTATTAATTTTATATAAAATATCATTCAACCTTATGCTTAGGTAAGGCTTGACTATGCACTTCCATACAATTCTTGCACACAATGAATACTTAGGTGATGATGATGACACAAAATGTCTCATACGGTTCTCTCTGTACAGTTATTAGATTTTCACTCAAGGACATTAAAACACACAACAGATGAGTTTATTAACTGTATGACATGACGATGATTTACTATTCGTTAAATGGAAGTGGATCATCATAGGGGTCTTCATCCTCATCTTCACGGTGAGTAGGCTGAGGAGGAGGAAGAGAAGGGGTTGGTCTTGCTGTCTCAGAGGTGACAGAGCTGGCCGAGCTGGCAGAAGTGGAAGGGGACGCATGCACACTCAGTGTGACTTTATTGGAAATACATTGTCATTTCTGTCCAACTTTTTGCTTTTTCATTTCTTTAAAAATATTTCCATACAGTACCAATCCTTCTCCCACCACTTGCTACAGTGTCAGTTCCCATATCATACAAGGGTCAATGTCATAAAAATAGTGAAAAAAAAAACCAGTCTTGAATAATCAGAGTGCTTTTGCCAGGCTGTCTAATGTTAGTTTACAAGCACTGCTTCTTCTATGTCTTCCTCATCCTCTGGCAGAGGTTCAGAAGCACTCATCTACACAAGTCGTCTTCTGTGAATTTCTCTGGTGGGGTCTATTAGCTCTTGAATTTCTCCAAATCCATGTCTTGAAACCCGTCACTCCTCCCCCACCTTTTTTTCATATCCATAATCTCTTCTGTGATTTCCTTGATTGGCTCTGTTGTAAATCTTGTGAAGTCATGCACACCATCTGGATAAAGTTTTCTCAAGCAGGAATTTACTGTTTGCAACTTGATGGCTTTCACGGCTTTTTCTATAACAATGATGGCATCTTTGTTGGTGTAATCCTTCCAGACGTTCATTATGTTCTCTCTATCAGGGTTCTCTTTCATTGCATTGACAATTGTTTGCATAGAGTGCCACGTGTAATGAGCCTTAAAGGTCCTTATGGTCCCCTCATCTAGAGGCGGAATTAGAGACATGTTTGCGGGCAAGTAGACCATGTTGACGCCTTTGGTGTTGAACTCATGGGGTTCTGGGTGACCAGGAGTATTGTCCACTATCACAGGAACGTTTAAAGGCAGTCCCTTACTGGCAAGGTTCGTCCTAACTTGAGGGACAAAGCACTGATAGAAACAATCCAGAAAAAAAGGTTCTCATCCAGGTCTTCTTTTTGAAAGAAGACTGGCAGCTCGTATTTATCTTTTCCCTTTGAGGCTCGGGGGCTAGCAGCTTTATAGACAAAAGGCAGTCCTCATAATAAACCCAACTATTTGCACAAAATATTAGAGTTATCCTCTCCATTCTAGCCTTAAATTCTGATGCTCGCTTCTCTTCCTTACTAATAAATGTCCTTTGTGGCATTTTTTTTTCCCAGAGTAGGGCATTTTTGTCTGCGTTAAAATCCTATTTAGGCAGATATCCTTTCTCCTCAATGATTTTGTTAATGACATATGAGAATTCATCTGTTGCTGTTAGTCAGCAGAAGCTGCTTCTCTTGTTATCTTGACATTTTTAAAGCCAAACTTTTTCTAAAATTATCAGATCTTCTTTGCCGGCATTAAGTTCTCC